CTCAATAAACTGAACTGAACTGAACTGAACCGAGGAATGGAATTTATCTAAAGATCGGTTTTTGCATCTACTGAAGAGCCACTGTCATTTTCCGAAGCCTGGGATATTCAGTCGACCTCAATGGCTAATACGAGATCTCAAAAAGTGGACCAGCAAGAAAGGGAGGCTGTGGAAGAAGTTTTTGGTAAACAACGAAGATGCAATGTCCAAAGAAACAGGATGACGGGCTTGATTTTCATAAATGACTAGATTTTGGGAGTAAGTTGCTTCACCAGGCCATTAAAAACTCAAAATTGCTCTACAGGTACTTGCAAAAGGGCACACATAACAAGAATTAGTTTCGTTTAACGAAGAATGATGACTGCTTGGAGATACCGGACACCACAAAAACTGAGCACTTTTCTTAGTACTTCCAATTTGCTTTTACAAGAGAAGCAGTTTTTATTCTACCTAGTTATGGGAGCACGGGAGAGTCGATTAGTAAGAATTTTGTGTCTAGAAAAGAAAGGATTTAGAGTCGCGAAAATTCCCATAGCAGTAATCAGAAGAAGAGGTGACAGGCGTACGTAGCTCTCGATACATTCTCGTCGGGCCAGTGCAATTATATGGGAAGGGGGTAGAAGTAAAAAGAAAACAAGTAAGAGAAGTAAAGGAAAGGATTTTCAACGAGCTAAAAAGCTTATAGATATTTAATCTTCCGGTTTCGGATGATCGATCGATCTCAAACTGTTCGTGCAGGGAAAGAGCAATCAAGGCGCACAGCCATGAAGGATGGGTCCCACAAGGCTTAGTTACGTGATAGACCCTCTTTTTGTTGTTTATAAACGATTTTGTACAGGAATCAGACTGCATATGTGCGGATAATGCAAAAATCTGCAAAGCCATCTTCAGTGGTGCTGACGAGTCCAACATCCAAGCAAATATTTATTAATAATAATATTTAAAGCAAGCAAGGACAGCAGAATTTAATGGTACCACAAAATTTCGCGACGGCTTCTCAACTGCTGCCGGTCGTTGCATAACAGAAATAACAAGTGAGAAAGGTACAAAGGTTTGAATTTCGACAGAGAAAATCGATGTAAAACAGCAAGGTCAACGTGTACTGCGCGTAGACTAATCGATAAAATGGTAACTTCAAAATGCAACATAGAAATGAAAATGGGGAACTAGGCATGCCGAGGGATTTCGAAACTCAAAAGGGGCTCAGGTCTACCATTTTGCAGACATTGTCAGGGAAGCGTTAAACACAAATCCGGCCAGCAGAAAAAAAAACTCCTGTGGGAAAGGAATAAGAATATAGTTGACGGTGGTTTTTATGGTTTGGAGGGTTCAGGAGAAAAAAAACTGCTGTCTGCAAACCGCCGACAGTCAAAAAGGGAAAGGTTGCACGATATCGGATATTATCAGTCACCAATTCCTTTCATGAAGTTGGGGCTAGTCCAAACACAAACGCCGAAGATCAGCCGTCGCTGTCGGATAAAGAAATTGTCCTTGTTGTGACCGGCTATAGTGATCAGAGACCACAATCGCCATCGCTACGGTACAATCGATCAGTAGATTCAGCACCCAAAATTTGTGGGAGCTTTTCTGAATGCAAAAATCGAGTAATGGTTCTCTTAAATAAAGGATAATTTTGCAGATTTTTCACACTCATTGGTAGTTTATTCCAAATAGCAATTGTATTTATAGGAAAAAACCGACGATATTTAGCAGTACGTGTCAGAGGAAGAAATAAAAAGACCTCGCGGTGACTGTTACGTCGTGGGTGGATATGATGTCTTAAAGAAGTGAGTGGGTTAAATGTGTGATTATATAAGAGTTTAAATAGCAAAAATAGTCCCTTTTGTAATCTACGGAACCATAAAGGATCGAGGCCTGTAAGCCGGCAACGTTCTTGGTAAGACAAATGTCGGTGTTCAGCGGCTAACATTCTCTTGGTAAAAAAGTGTTGAACGCATTGTATTTTCTTCCGCTCAGTAGCACGCATGAGGCCAAATAAAAACGGACAGTATTTAAGGCCTGGTCGAACGTACATGTTATAAAGGCGCATTTGTCGATTTAATGAGTGGTTTCGCAAATGGCTCATGTCCTTCTAGTCGAACAAATGCAAAATGCCGATTCTCGGAAATCGATATCGGGCCCCTAATACGCCGCTTTGGTATCTGAACAGAATGCCACACAAAGAGATCTCAAAGTTTGAATTATAGACACCCCGAAGCCTTCGACACAACGTTGTAGCGCAGCATAAGGCGCAACTCCAATGTCGTACTCCATCAAGCGTACATTTACACTTTTCGATGAATAACGTTTCTCTAGTGTGTTCGGGACGATTGTAAAGCCACATTTTAATTGTGCGATCCTGGCCTGCAGACCCTGGAAGCAAAAATTTTACAATCTACTCAAAAGAATGCAAAAGCGATCAATAAAATTATTAAGAGTTGAAGGTGCACTGCCATGTGAGGTCCGCCTTAATAGCCTTAATCTCTACCCTCTGGCTTATAGGCAGCTGCGCGGAGACTTGATAAATTCTCACCCTATCGTGCATGGTTTTGTCTTCGTCCTCCTATGTGGTGACGTTCTCTAACTCGCAATTAAAACTAACCTTTAGGGTGTCCCTTTAAACTACGTATGCCCCAAGAAAGACTGAAGGTCACAAAGTATTTTTTCTCAACCGTGTCTTAAAGCCATAGAATTAACTACTCAAGGTGCTTGCAATGTCTAAATCTGTAAAGACGCTTAAACATCGGCTTGACAGGCACATGCTACAGAAACCGGCGGACTATGTGACTATGTATGAAACCTTAAAAACCACTGAACTGTGTGAATCTAAGTACATATTCTCCTGACGCTGCAATTTTATCACCTTTTAGATAATTCTTCCGATTTCAAAATGACATATAGGAACTGCTGAGGCGTGAACCTTTTACGCTGAAAACACTAAATGTGCTGAGCATATTTATCTGTACGTTAAAGGTCGCGCAAATGAATTCGAAATATGGTTTTCCTGTGAATACCGGATTTGGAGACAAAAACGGCCTCGACAGCGTTTTCACATCGGTGAGCCCCATCTACCATCCTGGCAACAAGAAAATCGTAAATTCAAATTTATGTAGTCAACCGTTTAACCAAATTCAGTCTGTAATGCAAAAGACAGAGCAGATTGTGGAGGAGGTTTATATGCGTCTGATGGAACAGCCGGTCGTCATATATACCAAAGCGAAGGCCACCTTGCGTACTAGGCCAGACAGTTCATATTACGAATGGAAGATGTGTGGTAGTTGTTTGGAGAGATCTTCTGAAAATGGGTATTAGAAAGATCAGTCTAGTCACTGAAATAATATGCTTGACCTTTGAAAGACTATATGGAAGAGTCAAGATCAGCTTGCTCGAGTATTTGGCAGGGCTCCTATAGCAGACGGCCAGGCTTGTAAGTTGCATTCTAAATTCAAACTGAGGCAGCGCCTGGGAATGTTATAAAATTGAATAGCACTCAGAGGCACCAATATTCAAACACCAGAGAAGCCCGCATGGCAGTTAGTAGGTCAGGTGATGTGGGTTTTTAATCACTTTCCCAACTAATACTTTTTATGGCAGGAGTCGCACCCATGTCCTAATTGTACAGATCAGTACGCGAAAGACCACTGTCGACGGTTGGAACAATCTGATCGCAGAATCACTCTTGTCTTCTTCTTGAGAAACATAGTGTCACTCTGATTAGATGAAAACCGAGTCGTGGAATTAGAGGATTCGAGCGTCAGCCATCACAAGCGTGCTGGCATTCATTTAGCTTGCGACCAAAGATGGAAATGCAAAAATTGGCGATCTTTAATGTCACCACTTTGTCTAATTGTCTTTCTCTCCCCATTTTCAAAGTTTTAATTCCCACTGTTTTTCTGTTACTTGCTTGTTATTGCGGATTTTTTTGCTTTTAGAAGGCCAAGGAGATCACGTCATCGTAGAGCGTTATTATTTCATTCCCCTAAAGCCGATTCAAAGTTTCAGTGAAGATATCCATTATTTAGTTTGCTTTTTCAATCCTATGCAGACTTTGATCGAAAAGGGGCATGTATTAGGGGCTTCAGGTTTGCGAATAATTTACTTACATTCCACTCCGGGTAGCACCGCAACCTAGGCTTCTGAGCAGTGCAGTATAATGCTCGGTTCGGGTTGCAATAAATGCAGATTAGTTTTTGGCAACGAGATGTTAATCAATAACCAACCTTGTGAATGTTATTAGCATAAACCACCCGGATGCAGAGCCTGGTTTATGTTTTCTGAAAACGGAGCGCGCACTTCGAATTGCCTTGAGTTGCCACATCGTTAGTCGTGAGTACAGGTCATGGCATCGGTCTTCGGCAATGATTACAACGCTGTTTTGAGTCGATTTGAGGATGCTGCTGATACGGTTAGTCCTATGTATATGGTTAGATTGAAATCTGCCCTGGTTGTTTAGACATTTCCTCTAAATTTGGGTTAACGTCCTTTGCATCGAATTTTCAGGATTCTTTACTAACAGAAGGAACTCCTTGCAGTATCATTTTTTACAGTCGTGTAATTTTTATCATTTTTCTTTTTATTGCTTTGTCAAATAGACCAGTTATTGTGCTTGTGAGGCCTCAAACTTATTTTGCACTCCATAGTACCTGCCGCTTTACTTAATGGTCCTGAGGCCGGCTTAAATTTCGGGTTTTAATGATTCCTCTTGCCTTTATATCTGACTTAGTTATTCACTTACCTTTACCTTACGGTTTCGTGCCTCTGATGCATCCCTTTATCGTTTCTTGTTTGCAGTTCGTCAGACGAAGTAGACGTTATTTGCCACACGTAGCCCGCTTCTGCCTCGTTTCCACATTCATTGAGGACGGCTTTCGTCTCCTTAGCCAGTGGTCAGACCAGATCGATTTCATTAAACACATCTGGGGCTCTGCGGGCTTTCTTGCCGGAATTTTCATCCTTTTAAATATTGTTCTGCAGTTTGCGGGCAGCGGGTTTGTACTTACCCGATATCGTGTTAAGGTCGGCTGCGGCATTTTACTGTGCACTGTAATCCTTCAGGTAAGTCCATTCGTTTGGCCGACTGCAAAACCATGTTTTTCGAAGTTTAACACTTTTTCAGTCACTTTTTATAACTTATGCCAGATTTAGGGTTGGGGTGTGATCGACTAAGGGCGCAATTATTCGCCCAGAACGTGAGACTCATATCATCGCATCGAAGCAAAACTAAGCGCTTCCTTCTCTTAAAATTAAGGAGGGGGGGGGGAATCATACCACTTTTCTGGGTCCAAACGATGACCTACATTTGTTCGTTAACCGCAAATTGAAAATGGACTGTGGGAACGGGACGAGTAGTCAGTGGTAGGATGTACGAAGACTGCTTTCTTGTACAACTGATTTTTAGCTTGTCACATGGACTACTCAAAAGTGGCTACGTTTTAGAACAGTTTCCCGACATTGTTTTCTGTGTTATGGAGGGACTTCTAGCCGTCCATGAGACGGTAACTGGATAAAGTGGTCGTTGTTGCACCAGTGCCACAACTACCGGGTTACTCTGATAAATATTGTAATAATGATATTGCCCTCAGCGGCTATGATCCGATCACGCGGACGAATATTTAGTAGACCGGAACACTCAATCACTGAAGGGCCCTGTGTCAGATTATTAAACTCTTAGAAGTTCGTTAACTTTGACGTCCGGAGTTTCACAGCACACAGCCTTCGTTATTATGATGTGAATCCCTGCCGTTCGTCAGAAATGTTGATACAGAACTGTTTTCCTGGAATTCGATATGCCTTGAGTTGGCTTTTGATTCCTATTCCATCATCGCTATCCTTATGCCGCCTCCAGCATGGACGACCTGGTGATTGCCCCTTGACAACGAACCAACTCAGCGGCGCTTGTAAAGAGAAAGTCATTGAAGAGCGGTTCTCGCATTCTCCAGTCTGAGTCATGCGCGAACCTCTACTTGCATACACTATCGAGACAGGAAGGCGGGACACGCTCATTAGCATAGTTTCTAGTTACATTGCTGATGGATGGCGGAACATGCAACATAGTTGCGAAGTAAATAGCCTTCGGAGCATAAGGATAAGTACTCGTGAAACAGTAGCTGCAAGGAGGAAGTTTGATTACGAAGTTAGAGCAACGCGACCCTGGGCTATTGTTGAACAACTTTTCCCCATACCGCCGCCCTACCTCTCAATCCTAGTAAACAAAAATTCTGAAGCGCTCAGTCCCACACAAAAATTTGACTCGACCTTCAGCTGTACAACCATCGAGAAAATGGTATTTTCGCTGACATCTGCGTGCACTTTGCTGACGCTGACGACCTGTAACCATTTGACAAGGATTAAATTGTACGATCATGCATAGTGGATGAGATGCTAACAGCTTGAGAAAGCAGGCAGCTCGGGGTATCTGGAGCGAAGTCATTCCAAAATTGGCAGTAGGAACCATATTGCTGCGCAAATGAACACTGACTTTTTCGGATGGAATTCAGGAGCGTATTGTGATCCGCCAGGTTTCACAGGTTATCTATCTAGTTAGTCTTCGTCCATTGTTGGGAATGGTGTGCGTGCGAATTTAGACTCAGGGAAGGCTGGGGTTGTTAATCACCGTGGCATGAAAGAATCCTTTCAGAAACCGCCCCAATGAGCCAAAGCATACTTTTTACATAGGCAATGTGTGATATCTCAATCCGTTTGAGAGTATTTAGGTTTGGGGTATTATTGGTTATCCACATGACAACCACGATACTCCTTCTAAAATCAAGCGGCTATTCGCTGCGCCGATTCAAATCAAGATGTGGCTCATTGCTGTGTGCAAAAATCTCAAGTCAGTGCTTCTGGGCAGTAGGGAAAATGGAGGAATTTAATTCTTCTCAACGAATCACCGTATACGCCTGAGTTTTCTGTCGGAACCATCTTGAAATTTATGATGCGTGGGGATGCATATCCACTTTTTCTTTTGCTTTAGGTGGGCAAATAAAGTTCAGGTTCACCGGCTGCCTCGCGTCGTTAATGCCTAATTCCATTTTATTAATCTTCAATTGTCCTCACGAGTGTTTTTTCGATGCCATCTAGACAATCGGTTACAATATCTGGACTCGAATCTTCCTGATGCGCAATCTTTCACTCGTGGGCAGCTTACTTTTGCTGATCGCCGAGGCCTCGCAAGAATCCAGAAGCCTACTGGCTGGATTGCCGTCTGCAGGCGGAAATGCGTCGCGGCAGTATTTGCAGCTCGGTGGGCGTATCCTAGTCGTGCTTATGTTCGTTACTCTCATTCACTGGGATGGAAGCTTCTTCTACCTCATTCAGGTGAGTGCTATGTCATGTTTTGCTTCTAGTACCCTAGTGGCAGTCGAGATGCTGGCCATTCAATACGCCCCTCAGACGGACTGTGCCGTTGTTCCCTTAAACTAAGACAGAATGCGCTAGTCAAACTGTGCTGGATGTGCGCCACGCGCATCTGACATGCTTCAGATGCAGACTCGTGCCACGCTTGCCACTGTACCCAACCCTACAGCAAGTCAGTTGACAGACTGAAAGACGTCTATACTGAGGTGTCCTACTTCACAATTCAGGTTCCACCTCACTATAATAAATCTGACCAACTTAGACCTGTTGCAGCGTGCTAAAAGCCGTGAATCGCTAAGTTGCATGCTGGTGGGATAACTCTGTCATAATTTATAACACGATGCAGGCCGGGATGACTTCTTTGGAATGTGATCTTCAGCGCACCGTTAACTTCAGTCTATCCGAGTCTGCGTTTGACAAGTGTCGGACAATGGCTTTATATTACGTCAACCACATTTCCAATCGGACTAACTCAGATAGGCCACTGCGATAAGAAATAAGGAGGAATTAGGTCGGCAAACTATGAAGTTCTTCGGTATTCGGCCTGCCTCGGTCAGGGCTGGTCGGCCTCTGAAAGCCGGACACATATTCAGTGCTCTTTGAAGTTTAGGGTTCATAGATCATGTTGCCATCGTCCCTGATCGCCGTACTATGTCGTAGTTGACTTTGTAAGGCACATTGTCCGAAACGTGTCTCGCTTCTTGTAAGATCAACTTGTCGCTTGTCGTTTAGTAGTAGCAACATTTTGATGCATTCTATTTCCTTCTCTCTGCAGTCGGCTGTACACCTGGTTCTAATACTACTTGTCGCCATCGGCTACAAGGCGAAGCTTTGCGCCATCGTTCTGGTCGCCTGGCTCAGCTGCATCAACATGTACTACAACTGCTTCTGGCGCGCCTACGGTGATGAAATCATGTGGGATTTTTTGAAGTATGATTTCTTCCAGACCTGGTCAGTCATTGGTGGCCTCCTTCTAATTGTTGCCCACGGTCCTGGCGGTGTGAGTGTGGATGACTATAAGAAGGAATTCTAATTTGCCTGCGTGGATGACTGCCAGACCCGACTCCACCTCCTACCAAAATTCTCCAACAAGCCGAGCTCGGCAGTTCGCCGGACTCTCCTCTCTTCGGCTTTTCTCGTCTTTGTCCACCGCAGTTTTTTGTGGTTGATCGCGTGCCTGTGGCCACTCGTTGACTCTGTCTTTTAATCGTGGTCTCTCCTTGTCCCTGCATAACGAAATAGATGCTGCCGAGGGGGAGCAAAAGAATGAAGGACTGCGCTTTTCTAGTCTTTTTTGTCTTCCTGACTTCCTGTTTTCTGCTGCTGTTTAGGAACTTCTCTCCGCATGTATATTTTTGCCCTTCCTTGCCTTGGGCATCTGACTGCTCTTGCGAGCTGTTGTTTTTGCTCTCTCTTCTCTTTGCATCTAGCACCGGTGGATGTACTCTCTCTCTGTCGAACGTGACTGTATTTGTATGCATGACACCGAGTTGGCAATCATTTTCTCATTTATAACAATCACTTGCTCCGAGATTCTTTTCTGTGAGCAGGAGTGGGGGTAAACCTGCACGACTGCGGTAATACCACTCATGCGCTTGAATAGAAGCCGCGCCCCCCCCAGTCTGCACTGCCAAGTTTTTTTTCACATTTTTGAGCAGAAGAGCACTTCGGGGTGCCGCGTCCTGTTCTATGTCAGCCTTGATTATAGTGTTAAGTGCGCCGTCAATGGTGAGTACACCCTTTTTTCACGGCGAGAACCTCGAATACTGACACGTCGTACGTGCTGTACGTTATTCTGTCGTCGTGCAGGTACCTGACCGCATAACAACTTACTGGCATCCGAATCATAGCATGAGTCGCTATAGACTATTTCGGTTCACGGTGTTGGAGGTCCCTTGTATGATTAACGGTATTTCAGTGTTTCAGTCTGGTCCTGAAAGCGGACTCTGCCTCAGGCCAGTTTTTGGACACTTGCGATGAACATCGACAACTATCTTGCTTGTGGGGAGGGATTGTATACTGATTGTTATCTACCTAATGTCCTGGTGACCTCCACAGAGGCATGCGGTATTTGTTTCCACATTCTCGGAGAAAGCGAGGTCAGTCTTTGCAGATTTCAGCCAGAATTGAGTCGGCACCCGAAGAGTTCCCACCGGGCATCCGTTGCGCTTCCCTGGTCGTCTACGGTAGGGGAGGGGCGGGTGAACAAGGCCTGCATTTGTTGCCTGTTGAGACAACTTATTAATGATTTTCTCGCAAACTGCCAATAAGTGGCTGATGATACCAGTGAAACGCTAAATCCAGTTCTATAGAATCTGCGGCGTATCCAACAGTGGGATTGTGCCGTCTGAGGTCAACAACTGCACAGTGCTCTGGAACCAGAAAGGACCATTATAGTATGCCTCGTCTTTGTCGGTAGCCTCTTCTCTGCACATACTACTAGTTGCAATGCGACTGTCTGGGAAGGCTCTAGGTCGAGTTTCGAGACAGGTGAGCGTTGTTATACCGGAGGTTTACTGCAGCCAGGATTAGGTATGACTGGCTGATGATGGACAGTAAGCGAGAAATGGCCACCCCAGTCTCCCTTGTTGGCTGAAATTCTGAAATGCGTTTTTGACTAGGATGGCTTACTTGATCACGGCTGTAATACTGATTGTCACGCGGCATAATCTTGTAACATGCCGGACTCGGCAGGATGTCAGCTTTTGAATATACTCCTTTTCAAACTCCTGTAGAAACCGTACTCGGTAAAAAATGACTACTTAAGCAGCATGCATTTTTCCCATTGATTTTCGATGGTCTTGCAAATTCAAATATGTCTTATAGAAACCATAAACAAAAATATGCTTTCTTTCAGTCAGTTAAAAGAGAATCACGTCTTCGTTGTATTTTGTAATTAAGGAAGGAATATAATTAGGTTTTAAGACAGTTTTCTAATTGCCGAACAATTTGGAGCCTGATCAACCGTTGCACTAGCGCTCAGTGATTTCGGTCTACAAGGTGCATGCGTTCTGCATGAAGAAAACCACATATTTTTCTATGCCATTAAAAAGATATCATACAGAGTCCATAAAATTTTGCAATGGATGCGGACTATGTTGTACGTTTCATGAGAAGCTGTGGTAAACGGACAGGTACGATGTTATGTAAATGGACATTGCGCGGTGTTAAAAATCTCATAACGTGATGGGCAGGTCCTCGAAATAAAAGGGTATGGGTTGGGTATGGTTGGCTGATGATGGACAGTGAGCGAAAAATGGCCACTCCAGTCTCGTTCTGCACACATTATTAGTCTTTGGGCGACTGTCTGCGTTTATCTAAATCCAGCCCAAAAGCACAGCGGGACGAGCAGATCCCCGAAATAGGAGGGAGGGGAAGAGGTTGTCATTGCCAGTAGAAGCGAAGAGACGAGTCTCAGGAAGTAGTCCGCTGGGACAAGAGTTTTATTAGCCTGACGTTTCGGATTCCTGCTCGAATCCGTCATCAGAGACAACAGTAGATACGGGTGATTCACGCACAAGGGGCTGCAGTATTTATAGGATGCAGTCGCCATGCTGCCGCATACCTATGAACATTCACGGCTCCCCCCTTCATCCGGGATCGTCGCACTTGGTGTGCTAATTGTTTGATGGCCGACATTCGCGTCGTTAATTGCTGCAATTTCACCACGTGCGTTGGATGTTGGTGTGATGATTGCTCGATCATCTGACGCACTGACCCTGGAGTCGAGAAGAGTGTTCACTTGTGCGCTCCCCCCGTGGCTTATTAGTCCGCCTAGGCGAAGTCTCAGCACCGAGTATGGAATGGGAAGATCATTGCACTTGTTAATCGGCTGGGGACCAGTAAACCATGACTCAAGCAGATCCCGGCTCACGCGGTTGTCACCTCCTGCGAGAATTTCGGCCTCGTCGAATTTGGATGTGTGACCGGAAGGAGGGGAAGAAGCTGTCATCCTGGTGTCTTGTCGTCTGCATACCACGGAACTGCAACCGCTTATTTGAACGAGGGACAACATTACTCAAAACCCTTCCGAATTCGCCTTCTCTCCGAAATTGCTATCATTTTATTACTGAATTTGGGACCAGGCCAAAGCACAAGAAAAATCTGTGCTAACGAACTGGCAGACGTTGCTTAGAAGATCAACCGCCTGGGAATGCTGAAAGGAGGAAATTTCCGCCCAGGAGATGAAGACAGTGTGTAAAAGGAAAGAGCCTGAAGTGCATTGAAGGCACCGGCTTCACCATTTAAAGTGGATAGCCTATCCCCTAACTGCGTGTTTCTGAGGCCCAGAGGATTAGACCACCACTGGACACAGTCACTTGTAATAAGAGTGGTAAGGGCCGCAAAAGTAAACACGATAGGTGCGGTTTGGTATAAGGGAATCCGACTGCGCATACAGACCCAGAAGCACAGCGAAACCATTGACTGCTGTTAATCAGGCTGAGCCGGAGAGCAGGGATTAGACTCGGGGAGGGATTGTATACTGATTGTTATCTACCTAATGTCCTGGTGACGTCCACTGAGGCATGCGGTATTTGTTTCCACATTCTCGGAGGAAGCGAGGTCAGTCTTTGCAGAATTCCGCCAGAATTGAGTCGGCACCCGAAGAGTTCCCGCCGGGCATCTGTTGCGCTTCCCTGGTCGTCTACGGTAGGGGGGGGGGTGGTTAACAAGGCCTGCATTTGTTGCCTGTTGAGACAACTTGTTAATGATTTTCTCGCAAACTGCCAATGAGTGGCTGCTGATACCAATGAGGCGCTAAATTCAGTTCTACAAAACCTGCGGCGTATACAACAATGGAGCTGTGCCATCTGAGATCAACAACTGCACAGTGATCTGGAACCAGAAATGACAATTCTAGTGTGCCTCGTCTTTGTCGGTAGTCTCTCACATACTGCTAGTCGCTAGGCGACTGCCTGGAGAGGCCCTAGGCCGAGTTTCGAGGCGCAAAGAAACAGGTGAGCGTTATTCTACCGGAGATTAGCTGCAGCTAGGATTGGGTAGGGTTGGCTGATGATGGAGAGTGAGCGAGAAATGGCCACTCCAGTCTCGTTCTGCACATATTAGTCTTTGGGCGAAACCATTGACTGCTGTTAATCAGGCTGAGCCGGAGAGCAGGGATTAGACTCGGGACACGTGAGGCACTGGCACTAAGGACAGAGGTGTCATAAACTCTTCAAGGTACTATGCTGGACGCAGGAATTTTAGCATGTCCAGTGAGCCTGTAAGCGGGATAACTGGAACAGTGGATCTGAATAAGGCAATTAGAGAAGGAGAAAATACATAATTTACCCCCGGACAATAAGAATCGAACAGGTGAGTATAGGCCAAAATGACGGTATAATTGTCAAGACTGGACGGGAGAAAGAAAAGGCGCTTATCGAGTAGTAAGATCAAATGGCTTCTTGTTCTGCCATCACCAGATGCACGCGTAGAACACAGCACTGTACAGGGACGAATGTTTGGAGAGACGAGCGGAAGGAGTTGACGCCACCAACTCGATGTGACTCGGTGCCACCAGGAATTGTCAGCAGACGGCACAACTCTGCCCGCAGAGCTCCACAGTAAATGAAGCTTGCTCCTCAGTAATTTATCACGCGGAGAGACATAATCATTTTTCTGTCCGAAGTGTTTCAGGGCGTGCATACGCACCCGCCTAGAGTCTTTACGTCGATTATCTCGTCCACTGCCGACTAGGTACTGGAAACGCGGAGGATCCAGCATACGCTCATGGTTCTCCCCTTCCCCCCCTGCGTGTGCTGGGGTTTCTGTTTTGTGGAGTGCCTGTCCGTTAACAAGGTCATCTGAGGAGTAGGCCATCATAAGTGACTTCATCGGACCGTGCACGCAGAATTACCTGATGATTATCAACATTCTAGCAAAACAGCGGCACCAGAGGACCGGTTCATACTTTCAAAAGACGCGCACCTCCGGCACCACCATCACGGAATCAACTACGACAAGTCCGGAGATAGGGTGACTTGCCAACCCCCTCAACTTATTCGCAGAGAAAGCAGAGGCACTCGAAGAACTCTCTTTGACAGATTGGGATCCTTCGCCCTCTGCAGTAGCCATTCAAGAGTGGACAGGATAATCTGCATAAAGTCTCTGGACAAACGATTATATACTCAGTGTAGCATTCAGGAAAAGTGGTGAATGATGCCATCTAGTGGCATGACAAATTTACGAGCGTTAACCTTCATTTACAGGTATCTGCGACCTCGCCGGAGGTAAGTAGGCAATGAGAACGAAGTAGGACTCCTGCTTCGGGAAAAGTTGACACGCAGCAGAGCTGACACCGTCTACGCGGTTCAGGCAAAACTAGGCCCAGAAGGGGAATCTCTCCACAGAATTCCCCACCGTAAAGACCCGTTATCAATGAGAGCACGGTTGCTGTTCATCACCCCTGAAGACAACAGTGCCTGGTCAAAGAGGTTGTTGAAATGCCCACATCTTTGCTGAAACACGAACCTGCAAATCACCGTCTTTCTGACATCAAGACACCGGAGAATAGGTAACAGTTGCTATTTAAAAGGCATAAACCACGTAGAATTCACCACATTTTACTCAAATCTCGCCTATGTCACCCTCGAAAGTAGAGGCTTCACCGGAAAAAAGTATCTAAGACAAGTTTATTCAATTGAGGATGTACAAAAATGCACTTCAGAACTCTTGATTTCTAGAAAACTCGGGAGTGTTCACTAGGTGACAGCACCACTCTTCAGGCGGGGGATGAGTATTGAGGGACAGCCATATACAGCGTCACGCAAACATATATACATTACAAAGGAGGACCAATTCTCATAGAAACGCCGAGCCAGGCACAGGCGCCATGGACCCGGGCACGGTGTTGACCATGGACGCGGGGACGCCAGCTGCTGATGGCGCCCCCGCTGTGGGGTTTGCGTGCTGCATAACGGCCGCGATGGCACGCTCCTTCACAATCTTCTCCACGTGTTCACGTGTGAGCAGGGCCACGCCCAGTTGATCCTCCGTGTTGAATGGCTGACCCATGAGGCGGAGGAAACGACGGGCGGCCTGCACAGCCTCCTCCGTCGAGAGATTCACGAAGGCGTCGCTCAACTGGGACTGGATCCAGCCCGGCAGCTTGCATCGTTTGTCGGCACGGGCGTAGCGCTGGAGTGGGGGGAGCGAGAGAGATGGGAGCTTAAGCGATTACAAATAAGGGCAGTGCTGAGGTTTTAGGCTAAAGGTCCTGCTATCCCAGGAAATTCTTCTGGGTTTACGTAATATCTTGAGGGTTAAAATGGCATTTAATGGACTGAGAAGTCTTGAAGAAGGAGACACGATCGCTGGGACAAGAGTTTTACTAGCCTGACGTTTCGGATTTCTGCTCGAACCCATCATCAAGCAGGGTTCGAGCAGGAATCCGAAACGTCAGGCCAATAAAGCTCTGGTACCAGCGATCGTGTCTCCTTCTTCAATACTACTTCATGGGATTCGTTTCTTCGCTTCTATTGGACTGAGAAGTCTCACCGACAGAAACAGGGACGTGACTGGAGTGATCATTTCTGACTTAGAGAAGTAGGCTAACTCATGAAATGAGTTTTCGGTTCGAAAAGATTAATTAAGTAGGGTTATAAAACTAGTCAGTCTGCAACAGAATTCTATAATATTTCAGTTACGTCAGCATGCCGGCTTTCGAATGAACTTCCTTCCGGTTGCATGTAAAAACCACACTCTGTAAAAAATGGCTACTTATGTAGCATGAATTTTTCTCATTGATTTTCGATGCCCATAAAAGTCCAATTATATTTTATGAAAAACATGCATAAAATATTCATCCATCTGCGCATTCGGTAGATAATTAAGTCTTCTTCTAATTTTATACCCGAAGGAGGGACATAATTCGGTTTTAAAAAGTTTCTAATTTTGGGACTATTAAATACCGTGAAATGACCTTTCATAAATCCTCCTGTCTCTACATTTACCAACGTGGTTTGTAAAGTTAACAATATGGATCAAATCCACCGCTTAATTTTATAAACTCAACATGGTCTCCATTTATTACCGTAGAGAGATATGTGGTTTTCCGTACGCGAAAAATATACGGCTTGTAGTTTGGAAACCCTGATTTCAGGTGTAACGGTAGAGCGGATTCAAAATTATTCGGGAATTGGAAAAGTTTTTGAAAACTGAATTATACCCTTCCTTTGTGTATAAGATTGGGAGAAGACGTAATTTTCTACCGAATGAGTGGGAGAATGGATATTATTATGCATGTTTTCCATGGAATATAAATGGACTTTTAGAGGCATCGAAAATCAATGAGAAAAATTCATGCTACATAAGTAGTCATGTTTTAGAGTGTAGTTTTTGCATGCAGCTGGAAGGAAGTTCATTCAAAAGCCGGCATTCTGAGGTAACTGAAATATTCGCGAATTATGTTGCAGGCTGACTAGTTTTACAACCCTACTTAATTAATTTTTTCGAAACGAAAACGCATTTTGGTTGACATTTCATGAGTTAGCCCACCTACTGTACTTGTTGTCACCAGCCACGGATACCCCAATCTCAGGGTTCGAATATCCAGCCAATTAATCGTCGTGTCGACTGACATGGAGAGTATTTAGTCACGTGAAAGTGGCGTGCGCTAATCTATTCTGATTGGAGAACGGAAATGAGTACTTCTACTCTGCCTTGGAGCAGGTGTTCTACGGCCGCACGGCAAAATCATATGCGCAGCATGAAGCCAGGGCATCACTGGCCGGTGATACGCAAATAGGCCAGAAATGGCTATTCCAGTGCTACTGTTTGTGCCGACAATACTTCCTGACCATGGGTCGCTAGTCGTCATTCAGACGCCTATGATGGTTGTAAATCCCCCAGTTCCAAGGCAAAACGGAAATGCCCACTTCTGTTCTGCAAGCAAGTGAACGCACCGAAGGGGTGTAGGGGACGAGTGAGGCAGATGCTCCCAAGGTCTACTTCATCTCAAACACACCCACCGGAAAGTCATCGCAATGCCCTCTCCGAGAGAGTGGAGATCATCTTCGCTTGCAGGGAGTGAACTTATTAAGAACGAACAATACGATGGCAAAAACAACCCACAATAAGCTAAGTCGTTACATGAAAATCACTTGTTTGGTTAATTTGGTGGGATTAAAAGCGAAGTCTAAGCTGAAGGAGGGGAGGACGAAATTCGAGCTGGCTTTTGTTTCTGCAAAGGACTCGCAATCATGCCTTTCGCCTATTCGTCAGCGAAAACGAAAGACGCATAACTAGCACTGAACGAGCGTTCGTCAGAGAAAGGTTCAGTACAATTTAGCGCAAAATCTAGAGGAATATTGCAGAGAAAGACCACGACTTAAAAAGGCGAGAACAGTAACTTCAAGATTATGGCAGACTTGGTCCGCTCGAGTCCCGTAGACACACTCGGCAGCGGACTCCACTTTGAAGCCCGATCCCCGACATCGAGCTGGGATAGTCTTAGAGGACTGGCTAGTGAGTAATTAAACCAGTACCTACCTCCGAGCTAAGTGACCGTCTGCGCAACGAGAAAATGCAAGCAACGCGCACGGGGCTGGAAGGACACCAGGTGACGAGTGAGGCCCGATAGCCAGCTCATTAGTGCATTCACAACAAACGGAGTCTCAATATTTTTGTGCATGTTTTTATATACTATTTTAATTTATGAGCTCATCGAAAATCAGCGGGAAAAATTCATACTACTCAGACATTCTTCTACCGAGTGTGGTTTTGTAAGCCGCTGGAAAAAAAGCACGAACAAAATCCGGCATTCTGGAGTGACTGGAATATCTTAGGATTATGCTGCAGGATGATCAATATTACAAACCCAAATAATACAGTGCGTGACCGATCTCATGAAATGTTAACTTAAATTCTGAAATATGTTTTCTATTAGGAAGGATTACTTAGGTGGGATTGTCATATTGATTGGCATGCAGCATAATTCTATATAATTTCGGACTCAACAGGATGTCGGCTTTTGGATGCACTCCTTTCTGACCTGCAGAAACCGCATTCGGCAAAAAATGACTTCTTAAGTAGCATGCACCTTTCGTATTTATTTTCGATGGTCTAACAAATTCAAATATATTTTATAGAAAACGTGCACAAAATATGCCTTCTTTTACTCGTTCGATACAAAATCACACTGACTTCATAGTTTATACCTGAAGAAGGTGTATATTTAGGTTTTAAAAGTTTTCCAATACCCGAATAATTTTGAGCCAGATCTGCCATTGCATTGGCGTTTAGCGATTTCAGTTTACAAAGTGCATGCTTTTTGCGTAAGGAAAATCATACATTTCCTCTATTGCTTTAATAAGATACCATATAGAGTTTATAAACTTTTGCAATGGATCCGGACTGTGTTGTACATTTCATGAGAAGCCTTGGTAAATGAACATGTACGATGTTGTATAAATGGACATCGCACGGTCTTGAAAATCTCATAATTAGAAACTTTTTTAAAGCCTAAATATACACTTTACTCAGGTATAACCTATGAAGACAGTGTGATTTTCTATCGAACGAGTAAAAGGAGGCATATTTTTGTGCACGTTTTCTATAAAATATATTTGAATTTGTTAGACCGTTGAAAATCAATACGAAAAATGCACGCTACTTAAGAAATCATTTTTTGCCGCAATAGGATTATGCTGCATGCTAATCAATATTAAACCCCACTTAAGTAATCCTTCCTAATCGAAAACACATTTCGGAATTTCGGTCAACATTTCATAAGATCGGTCACGCACTGTACTTTCCGATTAAAAACACGCTTCAGAATTTTTGCTAACATTTCATGAGATAGGCCGGCTGCTGCTCCTCTGGCCGTCCCGGCCTTTTCTGGCCGTCAGCAGAGCGTGGAGGGTGGGGGGAGGGAGGTGCAGTCCAAGTTTGTTCTGTCGGTTTACGACAGACGCTTGCTGTGCCTCGGCCGCTTGTAACCTGCCAAAGAGGCTGTGTTTCAGTTCGAGACGGCTGTTTTTCAAAAAAAAGACGTCTCAAGGGCGTGTTTTTGGTGGTCAAATGCAGTCCTGAATCAGTAGTCAGGTGATTGGTACAGTGTACATACTACTTCTTCGAAGACCTCGTAGTATAGAGGAAATGTCACCGGAGGTTAGGTAGAAGCTTCACGTGAGGACGGCTGTAGTCCTTCTGGTCAACCATATCGACATCGATCGTAGCTGCCAATATGGTTCAACGGTACTATACTTATGCGGAGTCGAATTGATTTTGCGTGAAACGATTTTTTAACACCAGGTGATTGAATGCTCATTAGGGTATTCACAGCGGTTAGGCTCACTAGGTCCTCACCGCTCCCGCCACAGTTGTCGGACGCATGGCAGATTTGTTCGTTGCAGCACGAAGCACCCAACGACAGCATACACTCGAATATCGTCCGCAGCTCGTACAAAATCCCACCTGAGGCTTCTTAGTGTCCAGTCTCTAGGTCCACATTGTGAGAACTGTGAAATTGTCAACGGTGTCATAAAAACGCCGGAATGTCATTGGTAGCGACACCAGTTCCCGATGCGTAGGTGAAGTTTTGGCTTGATTACACAGAACAACTGTCGCTCCAGGCCGCTCAGAGTTGGTGCGACGGCTTTCGCAAGGCTAGTGGCGCCTGAAGATGAGAAGAAACGTTAGGCTACATGGTAACAGTTCGACCTTCGTGCCCGACGATGTCCAGCGTGCGTTCTACAGTATGGTGAGGGAGGCACAATGACTTGCGCGCGAGTTAGTTTATAATGAGGGTAGACTTGCGCAGCATCTACCACACTCCCCCCTCCACCCCACCTGGGCCAGGAGTCAAGACATAGTCAAGAAGACCAGGGGCAGCGGAGGGCGCAGATGGCTGGCACAGCCGGACCCGCACATAGGCGTACCACCACACCCCTTGGTCCACAATAAACCCCTGACCTGGATTTTAACCACCACTGTCGGCGCAGACCAGGCTGTGAGGGCCATAACTTGCAGATCATGACATGGTAGATGATAACATACCTTGAGGAGGCTATACCGTACCTGCATAAGGACCGACACTGCATGTGCCAATGAATTTACAGAGAAAAACAGGCCGTAAAAGTCCTCTTCAAACCATCGACATGGTAGGGATTACCAAAATCGCTTTCTGAACACAGGATAAAGGATACGCTTCCTTCCAAAGAAGGAAAACGCATCTGTGCTTGTGGTAGTGGTGGTGGGAGAGAGGGGAAGAGACGAATGAGGGATAATAGTAGCTTACTTTATCAGCCAGCACCAGGACAGCATAATCCGACTTGCCGCGAATAGCACGACCGAGACACTGGGCGGCGTGGCGCATGGCGTCGAAGGTGATGAAATCATTCGGTCGAATGTTGTACTGTTCCCTCAGAAAATCGAGTCGTGCCTGGGAAGTTTAAAAAATGCATCGAGTAGGACAAAAATGACTCTGGGAAGTTTCTCTCCGGAGAAATCGACCATCATGATGCAAAAAAACGCAACACGTGGAAACGGGAGGTTACTGAGATGGGTTATTGTGAGGTAACCTTCTCGGTCAAAATGGTTAAACGTTCGCTTCAATGATACATGACTCACATTCTTACCTTGAAGATGTGGCTCTGCGTGTAGACGTAGGGAACGCCGAACAAGATGATACAACGACCAAGGTGGTGATCTACGAAGAAGGGGCCGCGAGGTGAAAAAAAAGAGGGCAAAGAATCATTAGGCTGAGAAGGAATTCTCCGATTTGGCCAATTTGGCCTCCACAAACACCCGGACAGGCATGAAAGGTCAGGCATGCACCATGCGGATCTGGATTGTTATTGGTTACGGCACTCAACCCTCCAGATAGCTTAAACAATTGAATCCCAGCCAACCGCTTTGATAAACACGATGATTGTATGCTGGTCCCACATAGTATTTAAGGCGCTGACTGTGAATTACGTGGCCTCGGGTTTACGAAGAGCACAGAAAACAAGACAGTACGCTCTCAAGAATTATTTGAGATGTGACAAATGGCAGAGTACACAAACAAGCTCCCAGATGACACTGAGAACGGTTACAATGTTTTACATTTTCAGCAGCTGACGCCTCAGGTGTGTGGGGTTTGTCGACAAAGAGACACTCAACAAGCAACTGAGTCACTGCGTCGGAGGTGCCAAAAGCCCTCCTATGCAGAAACCGGTAGCCTTGCGGTGTTGTCAGATTAAAGCTTATCGTTGGCAGCAAATTGTTGCAAGTGCGGGAAGTCAGTGATAAAAAAGAGGTCGTGGTGTGTGTGTGTTCCCAAACAAAATGAATATTCCCGCAAAGCGTCTCAGGCACACCGACCGAGAATTGCCTTGCAATTATACCTTGCAGAAGGAAGCATATTGTGCAGCAGAGGCAAGGACAGAAAATCTGCCACAGTCGTGGAGAGTTCATTGATCTGCTCCAGCTGAGACGGAATAAGTGGGCTGGAGCTTTCGCTAGAGCTCCAGACCGAAGTCGCTAGGGGCGATCAACAACGAAGATAGGAAAAAGAAAACAGCTGCTTGAAATAGCAGTTTCTGACAAATTTGTCGTCATCGGCCTACGGTGTTGATAAAGTCTAGGGGGGGGGGGGTTAAGGCTTGAAAACAACTGAGTCGGGGTCGTCTCTATCGCGCTCCGGTGGGTTGGCCGACCCAGTCTTTTTTGTTTGTCGATTCGCCTGTCATTCCTTGCCTTGTCGCCCTGAGGCCTGGCGGGTGGATACCGGTTTGTGATCCTTGCCAGTTCTGGAAAGCTGGACCAACTTCCGACCGCTGCATGTCCTTTCAACAAAATTTTAAATGTTGCCTCGATTTTTTCTCGAACAGACGCATGCAATTTGCGCGTCATTAATTGGTTGATCAAGTAGTCACAATCACCCAAAAGCACGACCGCATAAGGGCACTCTCAATCGGCGCACTGAAATGCGCTGCAGTTAACCGACAAGTTAAGTTGCTGAATGACCATATAATAACCTCCACGAATGCCCAGAAAGAATGGCTGTCCGTACAACTTCATCATCCAGTGCATAAGGTGATGAGGGGAGAGAAGCGACATTTAGGCCAGTGATTCCGTGCCGCATGCTAATGCTACTCCAAGCTGGAATCGCAAAACAGGGAGGAAAAGTAACTGTCCGGTGGCAAGTAACGAGGACGGAAGAAATACGGTTGAGACGGCCAGAAACCGCTGGGGTCGTCTAGCAGATTTGCTGCACTCACAGAAAAACAGGAGGATTACTCGGGACACGTTTGGTCTAGCACTCATCAGCAGCTCACAAGTCACGGCTCATTCGGCCAGAGCCAGCCATACCTTCAGGGCCGAAATCCTCGACAAACGTGCAAACCACGTAGGTCTCAGAGCTGCTTGAATCACAGTCCTGCGTTCTGAAGTCTACCAAAGGACGTTACAGTCTCCTTCTACCCCAACTAAGCGCCCAGACTTTGGCGGACAATGCAATTAGTCAGGCGGATTGCGCGCGGGTGAACACTAGCCCTGGTAATGACACCGATGTGCCAAATTGCTGAGACATTATCACGTCCATCACCAACGCCGATGATGATGATGAGATTGTGGCAATTAACGACTCGGATGCTGGCAACCAAGCCATCAACGCACCAGATACGAACATGTGGCATGGGTAGGGAAGCTGCCAATTCTAGTAAATGTTTGATGGCGTAGTAATTAAACCCTATAAATGCTGAAACCCTAGGTGCCCGCCATTTCTACCAGTGTTATCCTGGTTGGTGAGTTTGAGAATGGATCCGAAATGTCTGGCTAACAAAAATTTGTCTGAACAATCGCGTCTCCTGTACCTGAGAAGTTTCTGAGAGCTAGCCTTTTCGGGAGGCGTACCGGCATGGAGCTCCGATTCATAACGGAGCGTCTTCATTTCATCCCTCTACCATTGTACATTCCCGATCGAATCCGACAGGACAACGAGCCCGTGGCTCAGTGGTTAGAGGCGTTAAACTTCTAACTATCAGGTCGAGAAATCGAGCCCCAGGTTTTCCACACTTCGGCTGACGACGGCTAATAAGCCAGAAATGGCCATCCCAGTCTCCCTTGTCCTTATCGGTAATAACATTCAGACCAGGTTTTTAAACTGTGCAGAGCGCTCTGCAAGCATGAATTTACAGTCCTTACCAAAGTCAATGCCCTCTGAAATCTTTCCACGGGCGACCGAAAGCAGAATAGCACCACGGCCGTTTTCACATGCCTATATTTTTGGAGAAAAAACGAAGTGATTGGCATATTTTGCAGTAAAAAAGTGTGAAATCCCAAATTAGAGGAATAGTTATTGCGCTTATTTGAGTGATTGCGATATTAGTAGATTCCAGTTCGTGAATTTTGGCTCCGGTCAGAGCAGATTGAAGTTTGTGATTTTAAAGGCAATGCCCTCAGGACACGAATTTTCGGATCCCATCCCGACAGGGGGTGAGCTACATGCTATGCTAAAATTATACTACTGGTAGACTTGCGAGTGTGAAAATGGAGCGACTATTCAGCCGAAGTCTGCAGCATTATGCTCAAAAGCTCAAATAAATTTCAAAACCAAACCTAAAACTGATGTCACGAAGACTCTTCTTGAAGTCCTCCCATTGAGCTGCGACGAAATTAAAATACTGGAATTCGATGATTGGAATAAGTGTCATAACTAATTAATTCGCAGAAACATTTGCACCCCGCAGCACCAGAAAATTGACGGTACGTGTGTCTGGGCATTTAGCTAGCACCTGTGCTGTCAGCATAATGAATCATACAATAGTGCGTGTGATTGTCATCGTTATTTGACGGATCCACGAGGTCCCATAGGCGTTTATAGAAAATGGCATTTCCTTTAGATGCAGTACCTGGAAACATGGACAATTTCGGCCCTAAAAATCCCTTCTGGGAGGCAGTCCAGAACTCATAAAACACTCGGGTGTGACATGAACAGCTGGCGAGTTGGTGAGCAGGAGCGATAGGCTTGGGTAAATACTAGAAAATCGTAGTACAGAAGAATAGGAGTCCCCCGCAATATAGGTGACTTTGCGCTAACTTCCAGGGAGAGATGGGGGTTGTGGTTGGTGTTAAGTTTAGAATTAAGGTTTTGGTTAGTGCTAGGGGGTCCTATTAACATGTCTTAACCACAAAAGCCCCAAAATTATGTGTGTTCTCAAATCAAAATACCCAGTTCTTCTTAAGAAGACGCAAATTACTGCAAAAGGGTCACCCTAACGAACCCTTTTGCTTTCGCTATTCAGGAAAACCACAAACGGGGTGCAATCGGGAGTGAGCATTAACGAGAACTTCAATAAGCTTTCATCTGCATGAGATTTTTCAGACGTCTGGAAAGATTTCTGGCAAAAATTCGGCCGTAAAGGAAGTAACTAGAGCATGCGTTCAGAGCCTTCAAATTTAGCAAAATATCCGGGGATTTCAGTTTAGGATCTTTGGACTTCGGTGTGCACCGTGTTGTCGTCAGTCTGCGAAGTCATCTATCCAAACCCTCTCCTCATCCTCTTCTTTTTTTCTGCTACTCCTTCTATCCCACCAAATTTGGTCCGCGAAGTCTTGCGCAAGAGACTTGAAGAGGCGCACGATGAGACTCGGAATGCCCTCAAAATTGAACACCTCATGAGGCTGTTTGAATTCTGCCAACAAACTTTATTCACAGTTGCGGGAGAGACCTATGAACAACTCAAGGGAACCCCAATGGGCTCACCGATCTCTGGTTTAGTGGCAGATCTGGTCCTACAGGAGTTAGAAAAAATTGCCGTCACCCAACATGAACCGGGGTTTTGGCGCCGTTACGTAGACGACACATTCGTCATCGTAAAAAAGGACATGCTGCAACATTTCCACAGCCTGCTCAACGTAGTCTTCCCTGATATAAAATTCACGAGGGAAGAACAGGAACAGCATTTACCCTTCCTGGATATGCTTGCCAGACGAAACCTTAACGGTGAACTTGAAACGACGGTTTATAGGAAGGCAACGAACACCACACAGCTTCGCAGTTTTCACAGCAACCATCCGGTGGCTCATAAACGATGCCGTATGAAGACGCTCTTCAAACGGATCCAAAGTCATTGCAGCAAACCGGAGAACAGAGCACGTGAGGCCCGTTATCCCCGCGACCAGTTTGTGCAAAATGGCTATCCGAGGGCATTCATAAGTCGCTGCCTACGCGGTCGCCACCAGAGAACTCGAACATCAACGCCACCGACGATATGGCATTCTCTGCCATAGATCAAGGGCGTTTCAGAAGCGACCGAGCACATTGCTGCGGGGCTAGGTGTTGGAATTACACGCCGTCCCAAAGCCACCATGCGCAGCAGGGTCATGAAAATTAAAGACCGGTTAAAACCTGAAGAGCAATCTGGAGTAGTGTATCGCATTCCGTGTCAAAATTGTCCTTGTAATTACACAGGACAGACTGGACGCATGCTCGGATCGCGCATACACGAACATAAGCTGGCTGTACGGCGAGGCGACGCATTATCACAAGTGGCCGCCCACACCTACGAAATGCGTCACGAGTTTAACTTCGCAGCCACCAAAATAGTCGCCCATGCCGGAAACAAAACAGGCCGAAAATTAATCGCAGCCTGGACCTCGGATGAGAACTCAGTCAACCGATTTATCGACCTGGCGCTGGCGTACAGAGCCCTGAGTAGTCACCTCCAGTCTTGCGTCGTCGGTCGATGATTGGCCTACATGCCTTATAACTGTCGCTTGTTCTGCTGCTGCTACTACCTCTGACGATGGACTCCTGTACGACTCTGAAAGCTCAGAACAATAAACAAAGTGTTTTGGTGCTCGACTCTTCTTCACTTATACTCCTAGTATATTTTCGGGTTAGGACATAGTTCGGCCTATTAGAAAATCAAGAAAAGTTAGCATAACGCATTGGAAATCCGTAGACAAATAAATCAGGCGTGAGCCCGTTGAGCAATGATCAATCTACCTCAAAGTCAAGCATAGACTTCGAGGCTACGCTGAGTACCCTCGAGTTCTACAAAATCAGTAAAGCAGGAAGCTACCAGCACCGATTTCAAGGTGAAGGAGGGAATGAAGGGGACAAAAGACACGCAACTTTTCAAAAATTAACAACCACATAGAAGCGAGCATGAGAAGCGTCCAATAAGGTAGGTTTAACGAGCAACAAACGCACACTGCTACTGGAAAGTGGCAGAACCCGATTTTGATCCCAGAATTTCATCGTGGTGCGAGACTGATTGTACACCGTTAAATGAATGAAAGCGATTCGTAACTAAGGTGACTTTATTATTCAGATTATATGGCGGCCACTTCGTTTCGAGGAGAGCAGTATTGTTAGTAGTGTCGCCAGAGGCAATGGTTGCGGTGAAGGCATAGTTACTATCAGTAGCAGTAACAATAGTGGAAACAGTAGTAATAGCAGTATCATTAGCAGTAGTAGTTGTTGTAGTAATAGTAGCAGTGGCTGTGGTAGTAGTAGTAGTAGTAGTAGTAGGTTTAAAGCGTACGAAAAATAAGTCGGGAGGGGTCTAACCTTGTGATAGTTCGCCAGTGCCAGACTAGTCTCGTCGTTGTCCTGGGTTTCCACAAAAAGGAGTTTGTGACGCTGGATTTTTTCTATCAGATTCTGGAAATTAGAGATAACAGGTATCTACGCGGCAGAAGACATTTTGGTTGAAAGATAAACACTACGACACCAATGAAATCTGCAGGCAACAAGAAACGAGCTTACAGGGGGTCTATACTTCGGAGTATTCAATGAAATAACTCGGTTGATAACAGGCACACAATGACAAGGGTAGGCTATGAACCGGCTGGTTGTGACGGAGACTACGAATATTTCGACGTTATGTCTCAGCTTTAGAATGGGCGGTAGCAGTTCGGTCATTGTGCAAACCAGTCATGAAAAACTGCGCTGATACATGGCGGGGGCCGAGTAAGAGGGAAAAAATGGATAATAACTGATGTTGGAATCTGTAGGAACCATTGCCCAAAGATATGTTCGCCAAACTTGCTAGAAATCAGTGTGTCCTGAGGATCGTCAGCCTGGTTGCCGTCTCCGATTACTGACATGCACGCTTAGTAGGTGAGCGCAGTGTTTAGGATCCTCTGCAAGAACTGCCATTCGGTCTACTGAGGTTTAAGTGGTAAAATCCTATCCGAATGCTTGCAGGGTGCAATATGCCTACCGCATGTGACTGACATTGGTGACGTTAAAAGACGACCAGAGAGAGAGGATGGTCCGCGAGTTGACACTAAGCATACCAAACGCAATAGATTTGATTTCGAAACTGCAGGACTTTAGCTAAATTTCACATAAACACGATAATAGGACGCGTGGGCGTGGGAGGAAGAAAAAAGCTCACCTGTTCATACCACGTGGCGAAGGTTGATTCCTGGGTGGTTAAAAAAACATCAAAAAAAGATAGCGAACTTAGATAGCTGTCGCAGAAAATAAGAGCGTTTCGACGACAAAAAAAGAAGACAACATGCGGCTGCAAACTGGACGTGAAGACATTCACGAGCAAGGGAAGCATAGAATTCAATTGGTAGTGTAACTACATGCTACTGGGGGAATGCGCTAGAACCGTCAAACTATTGGCATTAAGGACCAGGTACAGCTGGCAAACAACTGAACCACCACTTTCAGCATACTTTCAATCTTGACAGATTTACCATAGTGTGAGTGCTGCATTGCCACTAGGAGGGTTGCCTGAAACTTGGCTTCTCATCCTCGTCCCACACACATGCACTGGCAGACCGGAAATTGCGAACGACGATGTGCCCGGGGCGCGGGGACGGCGATTGATGCGTGGGTTAGTTTATAGTCATGGTAGGCTTGCGCAGCATCTACCGCGCTCTCTCCTCCCTCAGCCACCTGATTCCGTTGCCAGTCAGGGAGACTGGAGGCGAGATCGGGCGCGGGTGGTTAGCGCGGCGTGAGCCCCCAACCTAGGTGCGCCACCATATGACCCCTCCCGCTGATATGTGGGACCTGCTATGACTGCACAGCCCATTAACACCTGCTGTGTGCCCTGATCTGACCCTTCGTTAGCTCAGTGCATCTAGTTCCAGGGACATCATGCCGTTACCCTTCGCTGTGGCTGCTCCATAAGGAAATGTATTCTGTCCCAAGGCAATTCAATCTTTCTATGACCAGCCGGACAGACAGAGGGCATTGGTGACGTTCACATAGTGTCTGGCGAGCTCGCAGGTGACCGAAATTGTCCTTCTTTTGGTCACCTTGAGCGTTGGATTATTTTAGAAAGATCGGACACCCCAAGCTGTCGCAGTCGGCGATCTCACTGATTGAAAATGGATGGGGCGGATATTATTTTTATCTGTGTATCTGTCAACAGTGTTGACGATGTGAACCAGCAATATTTTCTCTACGCTCGGAATCTGGGCGGCTAATACATCCCAGCTGGCTGTGGCATTCACCGCTGGGCCGCAGGATTGACGGGAAGTGCAGGCTGTGGGGGTAGCATTGGGGCTGACTGTGTACGGACGTTGAATTCGATTGAAGTGACAAGGACTTTCTCAGCGTCAACCTCACTCTCTCTCTCTCTCTCTCTCCCGCCACTTCTATCTTGACCTAGTGTCCGGACTGCGTCATGACAACTGCCATTGAGACTTAGCTCAGTAACTGGCTTGGCATCAGCCTCTGCTACGCGCGCCTGCAGTAAAAGCCGGCCCAATGGTAGATCACTTGACTGAAGAACCAAAGGCCGAGGAACGCATGCTCAAGCCACGAGATAGCTAGACCCTGGGGTGCTGTAGGATTGGCTGGCGGTCCTAGTCTATCTGGGTCTTGTCGGTATTCCTTTTGCGATATTAGTTGTTGCAGTACGGACTGCCTGGGAGTGTAGTAGAGCTCCTTCTTATCCCTCATCTTCACTGCATCATGCGCTCCTTTTTTCTCGCATAAGTTTGCGGCCTTCTTACTTGCATGCTTTTCATTGGGAGACGTCTTTCCCAAATGACTCGTTTATTAGCCTTTCCGGACATTGCGAATGACGATGTCTACCGTGTGCCGCACAGCATGGTGGACGCAGGGACGGTAACTTGCGCGTGAGTCGGTTTATGGTGGTGGGGGACTTGCGCAGCATCTTCCGCACCGTATCCTGCCTCATTCTCGGGGGTCCGGGAGGGACACAGAGAGTTAGAGCCAGCCCGTCTACGCGTACCACAGACTCCTGATTCATTCACGATGGGTCACGCACTAATGGTCTCTCCGAGTCTGTATGCAGGCTTATCACAGCCCGACTAATGCACACTAAGAGCCAATAAGGACCGCGCCTTCATCTGGCGCCACAACCTGATTGGAGGAATCATAAGGGATAAAATACGGTGCCACGTAAATGCAACTGTGTGCGAATTCACTTCGGGAGAGTCCTTTACGATCTCTGCAGAGTGATGTCAGTCAGAGACCTGCTGCAACAAACTGGCGTAAAATCAGGAGACCCAACGACCCTCCGTGAATAGGATAACGGCTGCGTGCCACCGGCCGGATTTGATGCGGTTCTTGTGAAAGAAGGAACGTTCAGAAGGCTTTCAGATGGTCACAAACACATCTGGGCGAACATCCACGAGCTGGCACTACGTAGTAGGACTCTGTGCAACTCTCGGACACGCTCCAGACCTCGAGGTACGGGATCCAGTACACAAGTCTGCATTCTATCAGCCGTCGCAAGCTCCTGTCATCGGCCTACCAAGCCATGCGCGCAACTTCCAACAGTGCGAAACGCGGAAGGGGGAGGTGAACGACAACCAAGCCGGATTTCGTGCTGGACGTGGATGCGCAGATCAGATATTCACAGTGAGGCGCATTCTCGAAGTTCGCCATGGCTACCAACAACCGACGGCCGTCTGCCTCGTTGACTTTGCCACCGCGTTCGATTCCGTTCACCGTGAGTCCCTGTGGCGGATAATGGCGCTAGATGGTGTACCGGCAAAAATCATCGCCATGATCAAGGCCTACTACCGCTGCACTACTGCGAGAGTTCTGGTCCATAACAAGCTTTCCCAACCGTTCGGTATTCGGTCTGGCGTCCGACAGGGTTGTTGTATCCTGTAACCCATACTGTCCAACTACGCTATTGACTGGATCCTCGGGAGGGCCCTACGCAAGAGTGACGGCGTTGAATTTGCACCCGGACATCGACTGACTGATCTCGACTATGCCGATGACATCGCCTTACTTGCTTCAAGTTTTGGTGATCTGTAGTCTATGGTGTCACGGGTGAACGAGGTCGCTAAGTCGGTTGGTTTATCCATAAACGCTGAGAAGACCAAAGTGTTTTCAAGCTGCATCCCTGACCAGGAGAAGGCACCCCTAGGGATTGATGGCTGGCAACTTGAAGATGTGGACAGTTTTAAATACCTCGGGGCGCGGCTGCTGCCTAATGGACGGAGTAAGGACGACATTGTCTCCCGAACCGATGCTGCCCGCTGGTTTTTTTCAAGCCTTCGGAAATGCCTGTGGAACCGACGTGACCTCTCCATCGCCACTAAGATTCGCGTGTACCGTGCATCTGTCCGGTCTGTCCTTCTCTACGGTTGCGAATGCTGGGCTTTGCGCGTGGAGGATGAGCGAAAACTGGAGATATTTGACCACCACTGCTTGAGGATTATCCTTCGAGCGAAGTTAACCGACTTCGTCTCAAATGAGACAGTCGACGCTCGCTGCGACAACATCGCAAGGATAACTCAGGCCATCCAAGAAAGACGACTGAGGTGGTTCGGGCATGTTCTTCGTCGTTCACCTCAGGAGCTCAGTGTTACTGCCCTCGATCCGGCACCGTTGCCCCATTGGAGGCGTCGAAGAGGGGTCAGTTCAAAACCTGGCTCGACACTGTCCGTCAAGACATGGAGGTGGTTCCTGGACCTTCGGTATTCGGTCTCCGTCGTTGGCGAAGGGAATGGGTTGAGCTGTCTAGATCTGCTGCCGCGGATCGTCACACATGGAGAGGTAAAATTCGGGATATCATCGAGGCCGGCTAGATCAGGCATGATCGCAGTCGTATCAAGTACAAGTAAGTAAGTAGTGAACGACAAGCGCTGCTATCCCCCCCCCCCCTCTTTAGGAGATGATGAATAGACCTTGCTGGCGATAAGTGTCCTACTGCGCCAAGAAAGAACGTGCTTCTCCAACGATTAGGGATTGCGAGGCATACGCGCCTTCAAGAACATGTATAGAACAAGGGACCCTAAAGGCATAGTGGTGGTGACAGCCAGACAAGTCCTCAAAGAAAAAGGTACAAGGCATGATATGCACTCACCAGGTAATGGTAACTGGGGAAAAAGGCGACAATACCGTCGGGCACGATGCTGGCGAACTCAGCGAGTAAATTGCCGTAATTTCGAATCACCGCTGTAGGAAAGTAAAGAGGTAATACGGTATAAACTAGAAGGATCCAGTGAAACGATGCGTCGGCAACATAATCCCTCAAACGATTGGGAGGCGGAGTTTAGGAGCAGCAAGATGAGGGCTTTAACTCTCACAATAGTGAACATATTTTAATACGTTTTTGGGAGATTTGGTTAATTTAACCAACTGTGGGATTGAAAAATCGCAATATAACGTCCAAGGCCAGATTATGGCCAACGTTCTAATCGCCCGAGCTACAGGACTCCGATTGGGAGCCTCGAGTATTTCATAGACGGTCTGAGCTACCCGCCTCAAATACTGCAGCATATGAAATCCACCAATCCTGATAGAGTAGGCTGACTGCTCAAGGAGGCTTTCGTAAGCAATCTGCCCAGAGTACATCAGATGACTAACCGGCAGGTAATTCTTTTTGTTTATTTCTTTGTACCGCACAGCCCAAGTGGCTCCACTGGCTACAGCAAAAACAAAAACTCACCCAGGTCTTCACGGCTTTCAAACTTCGTTGTCATGGCGACCTGATCACTGCCCTTCGAGACGATCTAAAAAGAAGAGCAATCAAGATGCTCACTGAGCAAACACGTAAAAGGAGCACAACTGTGAATGGAATATCAGAGGCAAACGGGCATAGAGGACTCAGTAAAGGGTAAAAGCCGAATTGCACTAGACTGAATCACCATCGGGCAGATGCAGTTACGAGTGAGAGTCATTGAAAAGGACGCCACATTGGCCGGATGGAAGTTGAGGATGCGTGGGTACATCTCCAGGGGGGAAAGTGTCTAGAAGAAGATTTGGAAAACAGAGCATGAAGGTCCAAGTAATCTCAAACAAATATATAGAGTAGGCAAGGAAATAATATCGACCCTTTCCCTCTAACAGTTCACACTCTGACTGGGAAGCAGTCGGCATCCAGAAGGGAAAAAGATCATTACTAGTAGTATGTCTGCTGCACAGTAATTTCAGTCAGTTGTCTTGTTGACAACGGTAGGGTGTAGGACTCCAACTAACTTGAGGTAGCCCGTGGACCGTGTTATACGTGAATGGTGGTAGAGAGGGTTTTACGGGTGGGACAAAACGCAGGACGGAGAGAAGGCGGAAAGCAAGAAACCACGAAACATAACCAAATTTCCGTCGGAAGTCTTGTCTTACGCTGTCATATGGCAACGAGTGAGCGCGATAATTAAAGAATGCGATTATCAGAAATTAGCGGAATTTGAAGCAAACGCTACTGGCAAACTTGAATTCAGACTGGAATTCAAAAAGGCAGTGGTAGGGTTTAGGACCCCATGTAGCTGTCGTATACAAAACGGTCCAGAGGTTGCCTCAAGCTAGTTGGGGTCCTACGCCCTACCGTTACCATCTTGTTGGAGACTCGCCGGAGCACACGTGTTAGACCTGCAAACGGACCGATGCAAGCTTGCGAGCTCACGCAACAGTGGAGAGCCCAGTCCGATGCCTTCCATCATGCACTCGAGTTAAAACTGCACGCACTCGCAGATTCCGGGCGTATGCGAGCCCGAGGAAGCTTTTCTGGCGTGCACATGATGAGGGCAAAGTGCTTCAACTACTGTTAATGCAGTGGATAATGCAAAAGGCGCAGTTCCCGATAAAATAACGATCTATGGAGAAGGCTTTCGGAGTGGAACTATTTCACTCCCATTTCTTATAATACCACGGTTTCGAGTGTAATTTGTCGGCACATCACCTAATGGTCATTTCAGTCTACTTGTTCTTCTCAGCGTTCCTTCTTCACGACTGCTTGTTTCTATGCTCTCGCCTGAGAACAACAGATCTGAGATCGAAGGCAAACCATTTTCAGTCCGGCAATCTGGTCGGTGGAACACCACTTCCAGAATATTTAGTCTTCCCGATCGCGACTGACGGGACAATGATGCAATAAAAGGGTCTTTCGGTTAGTACTTAATGACCAAAGAGTTCTGATTCTGATTTGTGATTTTGATATATACGGCCGGCTTATGAAGGTTGACAGGCTAGAAAGTGTCATTTCCAGTCTCCCTTAATTCAACATATCTTGTTTGTCTTGTAAATATCCGATAGTCTGACCACCGCGAGCGACTAGGCCCACCGAGTACCTCACAGAGTGGGTGCATCATCCGGGACTTACGCATGAATTAGTTTATTGTGAGACGGATTTGCGTACCATCTACAGCACCCTCTCCTCCCGCACAAAACTTCCTCAGATGACAAGACAATGTCCAGACGACCGGAGGTGGCAGTGAGCTAAATCGACCGTCCACGTGTGCTGTGTAAGATCTGGTCGTCCCTGAATGGTGATTCGGATCTCGCGGGGGTGAGAGCACCAAAGAGGCCACCATGGGGAACCACTACGGCCTGACTTTCAGTCCCGAAAACGGCCGAATTATCTCCTCGGTCGGCAGCCCTTGGATCCACGACTGGTAGCGCGTCGTGATGAATTCAAGCGCCCCAGATTTATTATAAGGAGGAATGTGCTGATTGGCTGTGGTAATGGATTCCCCAATGTCGGCTTCACAACTTCCTATCCCACGCACCGGTCGACTGTCGGAGCGTATCAGCCAAGAAGTGATGGGATTGGGCGCAGTGGCTGGGGTGACCTTAAGGCCTACGTCTGGACCGTGCCACACGCATACATGGCTCTTTTCTTCAGTGGAGTTTCTTCCCTCGCCTACCTATGCAGTGCCATGCGACTCCCCCTCTGAAATAGAAGTCGCCGATGCCATACGAAAGTTGTGCAACAATAAGCCACCTGGAGAGGACGGTATACCTGCTGAAATCTTCAAGTCTTGTGTCGACACTCTGGCGCCCTGAGGTGATTGAACGAGCGTGGAGAGACGAGGTTGGCCCTGATGACTGGGGCTTAGGCATCCTTGTACCTATCCTCAAGAAGGGATAGAAGACGAGATGCGAGAACTACCGCGACATAAGTCTCATCGACGTTGCTGCGAAGGTCTTCGCTATTGTCCTACGCAGGCGATTCCAGGCTGTGCGTGACTCTAGGACGAGGCCCAACCAAGCCGGATTTCGTGCTGGACGTGGGTGTGCAGACCAGATATTCACACTGAGGCGCATTCTCGAACTTCGCCATAACTACCAACAACCGACGGCCGTCTGCTTCGTTGACTTTGCCGCCGCGTTCGATTCCGTTAATCGTGAGTCCTGTGGCGGAAAATGGCGCTAGATGTTTAACCGGCAAAAATCATCGCCATGATCAAGGTTTATTATCGTTCCACTACTGTGAGAGTTCTGGTCCGCAACAATCTTTCCCAACCGTTCGGTATTCGGTCTGTTACTACCCTCGATCCGGCATCGTCACCCCCACTGCCGGCGTCGAAGAGACCATCAACTTAAAACTTGGCTTGACATAATTCGTCAAGACATGAAGGTGGTTCTTGGACCTTCGGTATTCGGTCTCCGTCGTTGGCGAAGGGAATGGGTTGAGCTGTCCAGATCTACTGCCGCGGATCGTCAGTAGAGTTCGTAACATCATCGAGGTCGGCTAGTTCAGGCATGATCTCAGCCGTATCAAGTACAAGTAAGTAGTTATCTGTTCTCACAGAGTCAGCGCAGCCCGACAAACGCGTGCTGTGAGCCAGGCAGACCGCCATCTCGGTCCAGTGCATTTACGCGGATAAGAAAAATACGCACATCGACAAGGATTGAGTAAATAGGTGAAGACCAGCTGGAAGGGGTTTTTAAAAGGAAGGGATGTATAAGGGACGAAAAGAAGCAACCGCGGGGGAGTGGGGTGGTGCAGAAGGGGAAGACGAACCCCAGAAGTGATGATGACACTGACGTAGCGCTTGAAGACGGGGGCGATGGCCAAGCTGGCATCCATGCAATGGAAGTAAAGCACTGGATTCACGATGGTCGGTGCACGTTCGTTGAAGGGCTCCACGATGATGCAAAAGCCGCGAGTATAAGTGGCCGCGAGGGTGGCGAAGTTGCAGAGCAGGGTGACTCCAGCGTATTCGCTGAGGTCGGCAACTTCCAGAGTCTGGAGTAGGGAGCGCAACCGTTCTGAGCAGAATCTACACATGAAAGACACCAAAAGATTACATAGGGCAGGATAGGGGAAGGGGGGGGGAGAGGACAGGTTCCCAGTAGTGGGGAAACAGAAGGGCACACCCGACGCTCATTAGGGTTAGTATACATGATCAAATCATTTGTTTGTCCGCTGGCCACCCAATTGCCACAAGTAAGTCTTCACAATGATCGGCAAAAGTGGTTTTAAGCTAAAAAAAATAACAGCTTGTTAGAGGAGTGGGAAACAAGGTGCTTTCAAGAAAATGTCACCAAAGGTTGAAATAAGGATGTCAACAGTTTCGACTGCCATAGTGGACTTAGAGCTTGAAGTTTGCAGGCAAATGGAGCCAACAATACTCCAAATCGGATCGACTGATGGTAAAGACTGTCTATTAGGCCAGAAGCACAGGGCGGGGCATAGCGGTGACCTTTTCCGTTCTTCAGGCACAAAACGGAAGCAGACATCGTTACGGTCGTGTGAGGACGCTGTGAGTGAAGCGTCGGATGACTGGAAATTCGTGTCATCAGTACCTATTTGTCAAACCAATAGATCGAGATAAAAGCAGCTCCTGGAACTTTTGTTCCCAGACAGCATTACCTTGAGGCTAAGGTCACCTCCTCTGTTATATTTTTGACCCCAAGAAGGTAAGGGATCACCATTAGGGTTAGTATACATGGTCAAATCACTTGTTTGTCAGCTAACCACCCGATTGCCACAAGTCAGTCTTCACTATGAGGAGGAGGAGTGCGAAAAGAAGGTGCTTTCAAGAAAATGTCACCAACGGTTGAAATAAGGATGCCAACAGTTTCGACAGGCACAGCCGTGGTGGACTTAGAGCGTGAAGCTCGCATGCAAATGGAGCCAACAATGCTCAAAATCGGATCGACTGATGGTAAAGACTGTCTATTCGGCCAGAAGCACAGGGCGGGGTATAGCGGTGACCTTTTCCGTTCTTCAGGCACAAAAACGGAAGCAGACATCGTTACGGTCGTGTGAGGACGCTGTGAGTGAAGCGCCGGATGGCAATTAGGAATAGCAAAAGGCGAAGAAAAAGCCTTGATACGGTTAGCAGGAATTAGTGCTTTAATGAATAAAGCCGAACACCTGAAGCGTCCCGGTTTTTTTCCTGAGAAATCAATTTGTAGGAAAATGCATTTTAGTACGGTTACATAATTGGTGAGGCCCGGAAAGACGGCCTCCTTTGGCCAACAGTTCGTTAATTTGCTACTAGCATTAATTGAAGTAGGTGTGCTACAGTTAACACACCTAGGTTTAGGATCAGGGTTGGGAGTTAAGTGTTAGGGGATTTGGGTTAGGATTAGATTTAGGGTTATGATTAAGGCTTGAGTTATGGTTCGGGTTAGTTGTCAGATTTCGGTTTGGGGGTAACTGGAGTGCTTGCGGCTACGATCGGCGAAAGCTTCCTCAATTCTGTTTTACCATTAGGAGTTGGGCTTACTTTTGAAGTTGGGCCTAGTGTTTGGTTTACGGTTTACGGGGCTTTCAACTGGTCTCCGGTTTCAGTTTTTGGAAATATAGTTTATTGCCAATTTTGCACTCACTTCCTAAAACTTCCATCTACGGCTTCTGTCTGATTGATCACTCACCTACTTGGGTGGATCAATTTCGATGATCCCGGCGGACCAATCATCATCACTCCTACTGGAGTTGGTTTTATTGGTTAGTTATAGCGAGCTTTTGTATAAAGCGCTGCTTACGCTAAGATTTTAGTATCAATAAAAAAATTGGCATATTTACCTTTAATACACCCGTTTTTCTCTTAGTTTTCACATATCCCTCGATGTGTTCCCGTAGTCCCACATGTAAGACCCCTATTATCAGGCTTTTCGTATTGGAGGCGTCCGGGCCTCCTCATTTCACAGTACGACCGCGTTTCCGAGCTCCGCCACGTAGCCTGAAAATCCGCACATGTTAAATTCCCAAAAGCAATGACAGCACACAAAATTCCGGTGCAGTTGGTGCCGTCAAATAGCACGAATCGTGTGGTTGCGCGTTAGTCTGGCTGCAGACTGCCCGGTGCGTCCTCGAGTGGCGAATAATGAAACGGTTTTCTGCAAAGGCTAGTTACGAAACGGACAGGTCCTCGGATCTAGCACGCTGGCTGCCTTATAAATTGACGCAAAGCCAGGTAACGACACTATGAGATGGTGATTGTGAGTCGCCAGTAATAACCCTGGCTTGTCAATGCTATCTTGAGACAAAGTTCTAGAGGAGACAACCTCGAAATATTAATCGGAGCGGCTGCTAGGGGCCTGTCTATACAGAAAACTCCAAGTAGACCTCATGAAAGTGCCCGATTGTGAACCGCGGGAATCGATGCGTTCCGTAACCTTGACCCAGTAGTGCAGGACAATAGCATGAGGGCTCACTCGATAAGGGGTCCTTCGTACCGGATGTTGGAATATGAGAATGTCCTTCGTCCATGAGAGTCAAAGGCTGTCGGTGTTCAGTTCTCAGGTAGCACAACGTGGAGGTCTCCTGTCTGAAGACCGAATCTCCGACCCAGACGTTTGGGAAACCAAGACCTCGGGGTCAACTCCCATTTCACCCTAAACTACAGCAACCCGCACGGCTGTTCTGCTAGACAACGTGTGACAATCACCCTATCGAAACAAGCGAGCCATGAGTAATTTGTGTGGAAACCAATCAATGATCAGATAGCTTGCGTAAGGTCGAAATGTTACTATGCTAACCCCTTTGTCGTCTTTGCGCACGAATCAACATCAGCTGCGAACGGGGCGATAAAGAAACCTTCTACGCGCGGCTGCAAGAGTGATTTAAAAGACTCTCACCATGATCTGCTGATTGTTGCGAAGGATTGGAACTCATAGATGTTTTGGCAGATTTTGAATAATTCATATTGACCCAACTGTGAACAACTCGGCACCTCGGTGGGATTCGAACCCACGCAGTAAGGGGAAGGCTTCAGTACAGCCAACTCTCTAACCACTTGAGCTACGAGGCCCCGTCGGACGACGCGAGTTTAATCACATTTGGGTCAAGTTACTCGCCCAACCTACTGCAACATCTGGAATCCACCAAATCTGATATAGTAAGTAGGTGAATTACTTAGGAAATCCTGCCTGGGCAGTCAAATTACTGTGTCAGATTTGGTGGATTCCAGACGTTGCAGTAGGTTGGGCGGGTAACTTGACCCAAATGTGATTAAACTCGCGTCGTCCGACAGGCCTCGTAGCTCATGTGATTAGAGCGTTGGCTGTACTAAAGCCTCCCCTTTACTGCGTGGGTTCGAATCCCACCGAGGCGCCGAGTTTTTCACAGTTCGGTCAATATGAGTGAAAGGATGGGAACAGCAGGACTGGACCGGACGACTATTCAAACAATCTTCTTAGTGGCCGCTTTGGACTCGACTCGATGCGACAACGGGAAGAGGGCATTGAACTCTGCTGATCAGAATCGACTGTCTGCGTCGCACATACTCTTCCAGCACCGCCACAAACAGCTCCTGACTCGGTATTCGAACGAGGGCCTCACGGTCAGTCTGGCTGACTTTTAGGAAGTAATACGACAGCGACTGAAGTCGCTAAATCAGTCAGTTTAGTCATAAACGCTGGGAGGACCAAACATATTTTCCAGCTGCATTTTTTGACCAGGAAACGTCCCTCTGACTGTTTCAAAACCTGGACGGTTTCAAATGTCACGAATGGAAGAGAATATGCGCATCCCAGGTTCTTGTTTAAAAGAAGGCGAAGGCACGATCACTGGTTTCAAATGTCTCGGGATGAGGTTGCTGTCCTTGACTCCCGAATCGGCGCCGCTCAGAGGGATCTAACAATCCTCAAAAAGTGTCCATGAACCCGCGTGTATGGGGCAACCATCAAGCCAATTTTCCATAACTTGGGCTGGGATATGCGAGCGACAGATAGGCAAAAACTGGGGAGGGGCGGCGTTTCGTTACTGTTGTTTGAGAGCGATGCTTCGAGTGAGATATTCCGGTTTCATCCTTAGTGAGACAGTTTGCACTCGCCGCAACAACATTGCAGGGATATTTCGGACTACCAAAATAGGCAACTACGAGTTTGTGCACGTTGTTCGGTACAGCCGCTGGCCAGGAGGTGGCGAATAAGTCGGTTTAAGACCTGGTTCAACATAGTTTGTCAGTACGTGGTTCATGGATCGAGCTCTGCAGATCCGTTGTAGCAGATCGTCACAAGTTGAGATATACAATCCCTGCCGGCGTATAGGTCAGATATAGAGGGCATGGCCACAGCCGTATCAAAGAAGTACACGTTATACGACGTTAAGACTTCCTCAGACCCACTGTAACAAATTGCCAAAAAACACCAAATAATTAAGTGAGCTCGGTAGTCCCCTGGTGGATTTCGGATTGATTGCTTAAGAAATCCCGCTTTGGCAGTCAGCTTAATGCAACCGATTTGGTGGATCCCAGACGTTTCAGTAGACTGAGCGGGCAAGTTGACCCAAATGTGATTAAACTCACGTCTTTCGGTGGGGCCTCGTAGCTTTGGCTGTTGGATCGTTGGCTGTACTAAGGCCTCCCCTTACTGTAGTGGGTTTGAATCCCACCGATGGGGGTGCGTTTATCACATTTGGGTCAATATGGATAGCAAATACACCAAAAATTTCAACTCCAGCTTCTGCTGTCCCACTGAGGCTGGCAGATTTTTCACTACTGAGTCAAATGAATTATTCATATTGACCCAACTGTGAAAAAACCCGGCGCCTCGGTGGGATTCGTACCCAGGACAGCAAGGGGAGGCTTTAACACAGCCAGCGCTCTAACCACTTGAGCTACGAGGCCCCGGCGGACGACGCGAGTTTAAGAACATTTGGGCCAAGTTACCCGTTGGCTGTACTAAAGCCTCCCCCTTACTGCGTGGGTTCGAATCCCACCGAGGCGCCGAGTTTCTCACAGTTGAGTCAATGTGTATTACTCAAAATCTGTCAAAACATCTATCAAATGACTTAGTCAAATATGCCAAATCCGCCAATTAATTACCAAGTCCCACAGAGGCCACAGAAATCAGTTGACTGCTAAGCTGTTGGTTAGAGACAGCCCTCCACTTCATACTGACAATACAAGACAAATCACCTAAACCGTTGCCGAAGGACTATGATGCCAGAGAATGCAATATGCTATTCTGAGAAGGTAAGCTGATGAACTGCTAATATTCCCTAATGAGACCGGCTTATCCGTCTCATCCAAAGGCACCGTGCTTGACAATTTTAGTGACAGGCTAGACGTGAAAAATGATGACAGCAGAAACTAGGTCAGGAATGCTAAAAGATATAGAGCATGCAATACTGACGGCGCACGTTGCGTTAGGGACGTGGAAGTTGGCAGAAGCACCAGTTTGACGTACTGGGGCAAAACTCACAGCAGAGGGCGACGATCGATGCAGACCTTTTCAAGGCAATCCTTCAGAAACGCCACCGGGGTCTCGTGCACCACGTGTGCCACTCGCAAACGCAGTTTCACGTATTCCAGCAGGCGACGAAGGAAACTGATGAAACTGTCGGCGCTGCGAAGCGTGCCCGGGATCGCCTCTCTCAGAATCTCGTCGGGCAGGGCTGTCAAACGGACAAAATGCTCCCCATTAAACCAAGCAGACCACAATGCAGTATAATGAGAGTAGAAAGAAAACTTTGCAGACGATAGTGACGTCTGGGATTCCCGAAGAGATAAAAGTGCTGAATAGACAGTATAGTATAAGTGGGTGCCGCACAGTGAATCCCCAGCGACCGAGCGGCTTACGGATGCTGGAATCCGTTCGTGAAGCGGGTGCTCGACTGTCACGCGACAGTGATGGGCTAAGGCGCACTGGTGGCAATGCCTACGAGACGATTGACTGCGATCTCTTTGCATAGGACATCCCCTGGAATAGGTGTATCGTACTGTTTGCGGATAAGTGGTCAAACAACATTTATGTCAAAGTTAGGGTAACGCTATACGCTTGAGCACACGGTAACGTTAAAAATGGATGAACGCAGTCAATTATTCAGTACGAATCGGAACAAACGTTCAATGTAAGTTTCTTCGATCATAGATTACAAAAACCTCTCACATCCTACACAGGCAAATGGCATGAAGTTCAATCCGTTTGCGCTGAGGGTGAGAATTCCAACGACTGTTACTTGGCTGGCAATAACGTTTGCTGCTGCAACTGCCTACTGAGGTTTGTATATGCTGTTGAGATTATCCAACCAAATCCGTCTTCCTTGCATTTTGATTTGGGAGCCTTCGAGTACTGACGGTAAGTACCAGTTGTCGATACAGGTTTTCGATGCTATGAGTTGTCATCAGTTCGCAAATCCGAAATGTCAAGTTCGCATTTGATGTAAAAAGAGTAACGACTAGACCGGCAGTCTGGTGTTGTCGACTTCAGTGTGACCAAATACTACTCTAAAATATTCGTAAATTAACGCTGATATGAAAAAAGACATACTGAACTCTTGGAGTGTCATGAGGGGAGGATTCGCATTGCGGTTGTGCGATTGCACCAAATGCATTCATGTCCATGCTGGAATTCCCCGCTTCGAGGAGTTTGCGGTACCACCAGACATAACGATGGGCTGGAATGAACCGCCTGCATATGAGGTTATATCCACACCGTCGAGCTTTCTAAGAGGAAACTGGATCAGCATACCATCACATAACGTAATACCACCCGACCGCTACCGTCTTGGCACCCCGCGTTGACAATTTAGTATTAAGAAGTAGACAAAAGTGCGATCACTGGGACGGTAGTTTTATTGGCCTGAGCTTTCGGAACGCTAGCACCAGAGGCTGTTGGAGTGCAACAACGTGTGAACATTTATACAATTGTGCTGTGAGGGGAGGTGGGGGGAGGTTACGTTCGTGGCTAGGTCTGGCTCGCAATGCCTAGTCCACAATGGTCTTCCGGGGTGGTGACGGAGTTTGTCCTTCGCGATGATCGCGCCTTTGTCCACTTTTCAACAAGAACCTGGGATGCGCATATTTTCTTCCATTCGTGACAATTAACTATTGTTGTGATATTACTGTCCATATTTCAGTAGGGTTTGTTTTTTTCTAATTGCCTTACTGGCCCGAACTCGCTGACGTGTATACTGATATTCACTTTCGCACCTGCAGATAACTGGAATCGTGCCAATTTTTCTATAACACAATTCCCCATAGACTGACTACTGTACGACGTACTTAGCAGTGCCAGTGTTTCTAACGCTTGGAATAATTCGTTTATCTGTACGGTTTCGATAATTCTGTTGCAGTTTAGTGTTTCCGTTGCCCACTTTTTGATACGCTTTTGTTGCTTGTAACGCATAGGGAGTTAAAAGGTGCAACAACTACATTTCCCTAAAATAAAGTGAACTGAATTAAATCCTGTTACCTTGGGAGCAGGCGGGATCGTGAGGCTGGTCCGCGCCGTTTTCGTCTCACATTTTGAACAAAAAGTGCTCTTGGGGTGCGTACCTTCCAATAGGCTCGGCGATGGGTAACCGTGGCCCTTCAAGAGGGCTCTACACATGCACAAATTCGGTTCATGAACAGGTCTCTCGACAATAACGTGTTACTGAAATGCGTTTCATACAAGCCCCCAGCAAACACGGAGCTGACGAGACGAGTAGTGTTTCAACATGGACAGAAGAATGACCTTTGAGATTGCCACGCGAGGCTTCGCAAGTACTGCCAGAGGATTGACCAAGAAGACCGGATTTTTTGAGTTCATGAGCAAGATCTGCACAAATCTGTCCCTGCATAGGGCGATTAAACGTGCCCGAGAACGCAAAGCAACACTGGAGAACGAATTCTGAAAACTGCCTAATACAGCGCCGCTCAAAAATAACAAACCGATGCACAATCTGTCATCAACAGAGCTAAGGAAGGATCAAATTCAGGTGTTGCGGCAAGAGCCTACATTCAACACAGCTGATGTCAAACCTGTCAACATGATTGCAGCAGTGGAATCAGTCCTCAGTCAGACGGAAGTGACGGAGAGGACTAAATGCCACACTCGACACCAAGTGTCGTTTCTCCTCACGACTCACAGGCCGCGCGAAGTGCTTCTCAAGGTCAACGTGGTGCACTAAGGGAATTCACGACCGACAAAGACCTCTGTATTATTACTGCGGACAGGGGGCGTTCCATGGTCGTACTGGACAGGACTGAGTGCCTTCAGGTAGCACCTCTTGGTATCCGAATTTACACCGACATCGAAAAGCAACGGGGAAAATGCACAATACTTAAGTTGTCATTTTTTGGCAAATGTGATTTTTTGCATTCGGCCGGAAAATACGCACTCAAACGTCAGCATCCTGTCGTGACTGAAATATTTCCGGATTATGCAACACGATAACCAATATTGCGGCCTTTCCTAAGTGCGCAGTCGAAAGCGCACTTCTGAATCTCAGTTGACATTTCATGAGATCAGTCAAGTATCGTAGTATTATCACCGCTTTCATGAAGCTATCGAATGTCGAATCGTGTTCTAGCTACTTTAGAACAATTTTAAATAAAGTTCTTATCACTTGCCGTCCTCTCGAGACTGGCATGGTCGGACCTGACATAATTTTATCCCCACATCTTCAATAGCTAAGACGTCGTAAGGAAAGCCTCCACAAAGTAAGTCTGCGTAGCAGTCTAAAGGACGTTAGCGCCCTAATAAAAAGGAAGATTGCCAGACTGAACGATCTGTTTGCCAGACAGCTTTTTTCCTTTCATCTGTTCACATTTGGAGGAGTCTTAGGCGCCTCACTGGCCAATGAAGCGTACTGGGGCATGTTGACGCTAATTTAGATTCATTAAATGGAAACTTTATCGTTGATCTTTACGCCACCTACTGTACATATACAAGCAATGCATGGTAGGTAGGGAGAAATGAGGACAGTTGACGCACTTGGATTGCCGAGGACAAGGTCCGTTTCGCGTTCATTCGCAGCCTCCCTCAGACCCTGAACAAGTTTATTGTACTCCTGTTGAAGCTGTGATGCATCACGCTCTTTCACCTCTTTCACGCGCTGGGACAACTTCTGGATACCAGTCTGGCAACGATCCAGTTCCCTGCGTGACATAACGCAGCTCATGGACTCGATGCAGACGTTGTCTGCGTAGCAAAAAATGCATTACATCACATTGCCGCAGGGCTAACAAACCAATATTGTGAGCTTCGTCAAACACGACGACGGTATTCTTGGGAAGGTCCTTTGAGACGAGGCTGGCAATTTTTGGATCTAGCAGATAGTAGTAACTGTATACGACAATGTTCGCGTGGATGAGCTAAAGAGGCAAGAAGTTAAGCAAAAGCGACCGGTTACCGCGTGACGAGCAAGGAAGTAAGGACAGTAGTTATGTCGCTTTCCGTATATCCTCAAATCACTCTACGAGTTTGTTACAAGGATGCAAGTTATAAGTACCAGATTGTAGATTCCGGTAGGAAGCACTTCGTCGCGTCCATGGAGATCTAATTCCTACAAAGACATGGTGATTACATGGGGACTATGGGACGGCACACCTACCTCATAGAACTTACAAGTGCTCACTGAAGGGTCGTTTTGATGACGGGCTCGCACAAAGCTTGCAGTGAGTCGGCGGCAGGCTGCGTCAACGGCTGCACCGTCACCCACTCGTCTGACGCTCCGTTCAATGCACAGATTTTTACGTGAGCTGAGGGCGACAGCAAGCAGACCACAGCCCGGTTCACCCGTCTCCTTGGCATAGTACTTGTCCAGTTCCTTCATCTCTTCGATTACCTGCGTGAAAAGACTGTTAACCAGTACCGGGAACCCACCTTCTCCAACTCGGGGACCGTTCGAGAGCAGTATATGAACTTTTCCACGGCGCTTGGATGCGCCTTCATATAGGCAACAATGAGTGACAGAAGAGACACGGTTTTTCCCGTGCCCGAGGGCATCTCCAGGACGCCGTGACCTTTCGCGTCCAGGGTAGCCTTCAGTTCGAGCATGTAATGATATTGCTCAGGGTAAATGAACTCATAGGGGAAGTAAACGAGCAGGCCATCGACATTAATTCTATAACACGGCGGGTCATTATGTGTAACTCAAAAACTAACTTCATCTTCAGGAATGATATTGCATATACAGATCCAGGGGAGCTTGGTGGGAGCGCTTTATTCACGCCTGCAAAGGAAGTATGCTTTTAGGGATATTGGCTTTTATTTAAAAGAACACAAAATAAGTGGAGAGAGGCCGAAAACAAAGCAAATGACAGGAGGCACAGGATTAGCAGCCTTGGTATTCGATTGTTAACAATCGTCTGATTCAAAAGAAAAGGAGGCGTTCATCGGGAAAGGTGTATTTGAGGTCTGACGTTTCGGGTAGTCGTTTCTTCTACCCGACTCAACAATCCGACGACAAGTGATGCGGCCAAAAGACCCGATCCCTAAACAGGAGATGTCAGTGCAGCTGCAGAATGTACAACTACGTTGGGGAAACCGCATGCACGAGCATAAGTTGGCCGTGCGAAGGTTGGACCCAAAGTCGGAGGTAGCAACCCATGCCGCCCAAATGGGACACGTCTTCAACTTCGACGCCGTTGAGATTGTGGGCCGAGGTGATGATCATACGGCAAGGCAGGTGTAAGAAGCCTGAATGTCTACCAACTGTTCTGTCAACCGCCACACCAATTTGCCTCCCCCCTATCTGGTTTTACGGACATTCTTGACGGGGCACAGTCACGGCGCCGGACAAGCGGGGCCGTTAATTATCGCCGCGGCCGACGAAGATGTGCGGGATTCGGGTCACGGTGAAATGCGGGTGGGATGCAGCCACACAGGCGGTATTGGCGGGCCAGGCATCAAACAAAGTGCGCCATATAAGGAGAGCTGTGTGCATGACTTCTCAGTCTCTGAAGATGGGTAGAAGAAAAAACTACCCGAAACGTCAGACCTCAAATACAGCTCTCCCGGTGAACGCCCTCTTTTCGTTTGATATGCCACCCGGGAATCGCATTTTCATTACTATTAATCGTCTGAGTATATTTCAGCATGATCGTGCACCAACGATTTGTTTGTTTATGTCAAGAAATTTGTCCACTTGGTTCCTATTTGACCTCATCTCTGCAAAGCACTTTTTCACTTGTACCTGTGACAGCAGGAGTAAATACAGAGTTAGCCGACTTCAAAGCTGTTGCCGGTGGAGCTGTTCCACAATAGGCAGCCCGTGATTATTTTCGGTCAATTTCATCTCTGCTGCCGGATATTACATACTGCAGGGCCCAAAGCTCCTTCAAAAGCCTACTGGACATTATGCACTCATACTATTCTTTCATCGTCTTGGCGCAGCCGTGAAAGTGAGGGCATGCCATTATAAGCGTGGGATTTGACCAAATTACCCAAATTTCCTATCATCAGCGGCATATAAGTGTTTCTTCCGACCGCCATTGTTGACAAAACGTCGATCTGTTCGAGGGAAGACCGGTGTACCGATGAGATACCGATGGTTAAAAATGATCATCTGTTCTTACTTAGCTTCCATTGCCTAATACTCATGGCCCAACGTAGCTAGGGCCAAAAATGTGGCTTTTCAGACCTGAACTAAGGTAATGATTCGAACAAAACTACGGTCATACGACAATCTAAGTGGACCGATGCTTTGATTTGAAAGTCGCTGAGATGCAAAGCCAATTTATTTTCCTCGGGCATACAACCCGGATAAATTTTAGCATTGATGACGTTGAATAGCATGACAACGGATTGTAAGCCATCGCTCACATAAACAACGGTCCTATGCACTTCGTTAGACCGGTCATCACTTTGTGATGTCTGAACCCCGGGAGCATCAATTCAGACATGCCGGAACTCCTTATTTCCCAAAAAAACATATGTATGGCGTACCGCATCAAATGTCACTGCGAAGTATGGGGAACAGGCAGCGGTCGTTGTCAGAGAGAAGGAGGAGCGGTACTCAAGAGTGAACCCGAGTGACGTTTAGACCTACATACTGTCCATCCTCAAAACCAACTGGATCTCGCTGTATCCTAGCAGCACGGACAAGCTGAAATTTAAGAGCTCTTGTCGTTAGACCCTTTCACTCTGGCCGACAACTGCACATCAGCGAACTTAACGACCGTGGCAAGACATCGTCAGTAGTAACGTAAATTAGGTAGGCTAACTCATGAAATGTCAACTGAAATTCCGAAATGCGTTTTCGTTTCGAAAAGATTAATTAAATAGGGTTGTAAAACTAATCATTATGCAGCATAATTCTGTAATAATTCAGTTACCTCAGGATGCCGGCTTTCGAAAGAACCTCTTTCCTGCTACATTTAAAAGCCACACTCTGTAAAAAATGGCTATTTAAGTAGCATGAATTTTCTCATTGATTTTCTATGCCCTTAAAAATTCAATTATAGTTCATAGAAAGCACGCATTAAAATACTCATTCTTTTGCTCATTTGGTAGAAACTTACGTTTTCTTCCAATTTTATACTCGAAGGAAGCGCATAATTCGGTTTTCGAAAACTTTTTCAATTCCCGAATAATTTTGAACCCAACCTGCCGTCACGCTTGCATTCAGGGTTTGCAAACTACAGATCGTATATTTTCTGCATATGGAAAACCATAGATTTCTCTACGGTATTAAGTGGAGGCTATATGGAGTTCATAAAATTTAGCAGTGGATTTGAGCCATATTGCTAACTTTACAACCCATATTGATAAATGCAGAGACATAACGCTTTATGGACGGCCATTTCACGATGTTAAAAAATCCCACAATTAATTTTTTAAGACCGAATTATACCCTTCCTTCGAGTGTAAAGTTAAAAGTTCTTTGAAAGTTGAAAGTTCTTTTCTACAAAATGAGCAAAAGAACGAATATTTGAATGGATGCTTTCCATGAAATATAATTGAACTTTTAAGGGCGTCGAAAATCAATGAGAAAATGCATGCTAATTAAGTAGTCATTTTTTACCGAGTGTGGCTTTTACATGCAGCCAGAAAGAAGTTCGTTCGAAAGCCGGCATCCTAAGGTAACTGAATTAATATAGAATTATGTTGCATGATGATTAAATTTGCAACGCATTTCGGAATTTGGGTTGACATGTCATGAGTTAGCCCACCTACTGTATACCACGACGGCCGATGTTAACGACATCCGGTAGACACCGTTTGACTACCGATTTGACAACTAACTTGCTGAGAGAACCCGCGCTTCTAAACATAAACCCAGATAGGAGATTGCCGATAAATAATTGTCGGCACATTCCTGTAAGGCTTTGATGAGAAGCAAGCTTCGGCTCTGTCACTATCCACAAGGACTGAGACACCTACAGATCCTCTGCACCGCGGCCATTCCAGATTTTATCGCTCGGGGTAGTGAAGAGGTGAACGCCGAGGGGCAGTCGAACTAGCATGAGATCAGACCCATAGGCATTGACTTGCTCAATTTTTCGTATTGAGCATGCATTTGACTGAGACAAAGAGGAGACTTTGAGCTTACAGCACTACGGTGTCATGAGTGCTGAAATATAGTGTTTATTACGAAACGGGTATTGCAACCTGCAAAGTTCAGCAGTAACTCGTTACTTTCATAGTGACTGCCTGGGTTGAAGTGGCTAATAGGATGGATTTCCAGAACCAGTGTGGTTGCTCCAGGTCACGACTTCAATGAATTTTGTGACTGGTTTTAAAATGCATTCCCTAACCGATTTTGCTAGCCGAAACAGGGGCAGTCATGATGATGGCAAAAACGTCGAAACCGCGCTCTAGTCGTAAACGTGCCGATCTTCGGCTGTTGGTTTGTGTTCCAGAAGAGCTTTGGCCGTATACCAGGTCAAAGTCATGGGTCATATGCGGCTACCATAACAGCTCCTAGGATAAGTAGTAAAAAGCAATCTTTGCTGAATCCGGAAACTCTGGTTTTCCAAAGGCCAGGTTAAAGAAGACAGGCTTCTGATGAAAGACATGTTCCCGTGACAACTGCGGAAATTAAAAATCGAAGATCGGTCGACCAGTTGGAGAATTCTTGATACATATAAACAACAGACACCCAGGACCCTTGCCCTGGCTAGTAGTTCAGGTAGTCAATTTTTCAGCCCCACCTCTAGACTATGCGTCGACTCTGACTGACAACCTTAAATTGGTACCGCATACAGGCATAAAGGAGCGTGGGAATATCTGTATGAACGATTGCCCAAGATGCTACCGACTTTTTGCTCATGGTTTTTGTCTTTAAAGTTGTGGTTGGCTGGGAATACGATGAAAATGCTGGGGTGATCGGGGCACTCGGTAATCTGAAGTTCGTGGCCATTTTAGACAGCATCAGGAGTTAACCGCTTTAGAGGGTGGTTTGTACAACTAGTACTAGCTGGAATTTCCCCAAATTTGGTTTCGTCTATTGATAATCTGAAGTTAATTCTCCGTCTAGTCTGTTGATCTCTTAATACAGAGTTGCCTTTGGCCGATGTGTGCAGATTTGTGCCCCAGTGTCCGAGGACTATGCTAAACGGATATCTTCAATGGTCTGCAAAAATTGACACTTTTTACATGACTTCGACTCCTTTTTAAGAGCAAAATGTGTATTCCGTAGGATTTAGACGGACATCCTAACGCATGGGCAGTTTCCAGACTGAAAATCGTCAACCCTTATACCAACATGCGCCCAACAAGTCAAGTCGTCGGGCTGCGATGGACAAGAGGATTAAGCGAACACCTGGCGACCGCAAACCCTGATTAGGTACTTAGGAAGCAAATGTTTTTATATGTCCACTAATTAACCGAGGTGTTTGTATAAGGGGCATTCCCCTCCTCCCTGGTCTTTGGGAGAAAACGCCAACTTTTCGGCATTATCTAGAAGTGCGGTGAAAGTGGATCTCTATAAAACTTGGCACAATGAGAACATTAATTTAAACGAAAATTTGGGATGGGTAAGGGGGTGTACATTGTGCAGACGGCTATCGTGGAGTCGCCTAACTCAAACTTTCTAACAAATCTCGTACGTAAAGGGAGAGGAAGGTCTAACGATCCATTTTACTGCTTCCGTAGAGGCTATTAGGTAGTGACACAAGTAGGCCATGTGTACTGCCAATCTAAATTTAATCCTCTTTTCGTGCTCGAC